TCGTTAAAGTCGTACGGCACGTTCCACCCCAGCTTGCCGTACTTTCGCCGCTCCTGCACCACTGCGTGGAAGAAGGCGAGCACGTAGACGAGCGGTCGGAAGGCGGCGTGCGGGCAGTCGGACAGCACGTCCTCCGTGATCTTGGAGTAGCTCTGACGCATGTTGAGCTTGAGCCCGTTGGGGGGCTCGGTCACAACCTGTGTGGGTGGGGGCGGGAGAGCATGGGAGGGCAACAAGCTCCGTCACGGACTTGAACGCGTATACCGGTAAATGCGCAAAGAAGTGATCAGCAAGAGTTGCAATGGGCCCCTTAGTCCTTAAAGGAGCCATGCTGCAGTCCTCCTCCCCAGCTCCCTCAACCACCTCCCCACCTTGAGTGAGCGCTGCAGCACCCCCAGCGGGAAGCGGTCGGTGGGTTCCGTGGTGAGCCACAGCCTGAAGTCGTGGTGCGGCTTGGTGATCTTCTCCAGGATCTTCTCCAGCGTCTTGAGCCAGGTGGGCAGCAGGTGGCAGTTCTGCAGCATGATCCACAGCCCGCGGGTGGCGCCCGTCTCGATCAGCTCCTGCGCCTTGGGGCCCATGCCCTGACCCAGCGCCATGTACTTGAGCTTGGCGCCGGGCCTGAGGGGGGGGAGGTGGGTGGGGGGGTAAGGAAGAAGGAGAAGCGAGGAGCGGCGAGGAGACCCCGACGGGACATTAGGTTAACCTGGCGTTCAAGAGATAGTTGACTAAGGGAGACTGAGTGATGCCTGCGGAATGCATGCACACCAAACCCAGGTTGAGCCGCCCCTAACCCTGCAACCCAATACCCACCCCAACCACCCATCAACCCACCCACCCACCCAGCACCCACCTGAAGCCCATCTCCTCTCCCAGCTTGAACACATCAAAGGCGGGGTCCGCACCCGGCGACAGCACAAACACGATGGGCGTGGTTTCGGAGCTCTGTTTGAAGATGGATCGGTACTCCAGCACCGGCGGCTGCACGTACTTCTCACCCATCACGCTGATCACGAAGCGCGTGATGCCCACCGTCACTCGGTCCATGCGCAGGCAGCGCAGCAGACACAGCTTCTCAAAGTCGGTGAGGAAGGAGTGGTACCCCAGCGGCAGCTCCGCCTCCTCGGGGGCCTCCAGGTCGTAGTAGGAGCGCCAGGCGGCCTCGTCGGACTCCACATCGTTGGCGAGGCTGGGGGGGGGGGGAGGTGGAAGGGAGAGCACCCGTTGTGTTAGATGAGAATGGCAAATGAGGAGGGGAGGAGGGGAGGAGGGAAGGGTGGGCCGCGAAAGAAGGACAACCCCCGCATCCTTGTCAACTTCGATTAGTACAAGTAATGCCCGCACAGTCCTCTCCGGGCGTGCATGTCCATGCATCCGCACCGGCGTCCTTACTCCAGCATCAAAGCTCTTCCCACCCACACCCGCACCCCCTCCCACACACCCACCTTGCCAGCGCATGCATGCGCCCATCCGAGCCCGTCTTCTTCTGCCCCAGCTCCACCAACCGCATCAGGTCCTGCCAGCCCGAGTCGGGGAACCAGTCAAAGGGCTTCCGCCGCGCCGCCTTCTCCAGCGACAAATTGCCCTTGAGGAAGAAATCCAGCAGCAGCGGGTCCAGCGGCGTCTCGCCCTCCAGCACCTTGGCGGTCATCTGGAAGGAGAACATGAGCTTGTGCCGCTCGAACAGACCCAGGCAGGTGTAGGCGTACACATCGTAGGTGAGGGTGTCGATGATGTTGCGCAGGCGGCCCTCGATGGAGGCGTCGCGGCGGGAGTTGTGTAGCGAGCCGTTAAATACGACGAGGAAGGACGCCAGGCTGTATTCGTACATGTTGGTAATGGCGGACAGGCCGGCGATAACGAAGAAGAGGATGGCACCGCGCTTGGCGGCCGGGCTGTAGCGCACGCGCGTTTCTTCGATCTCCGCTGCAGTGACTTTGGAGGCTTCCAGCTTTTCGGCGATTTCCACGGCTTTGAGTTTGGCGCTCTCCAGCGTGGCGATGAGCTCGCTGTTGTCCAGGATGTTACCCTGTCGGTGGGGGTGGTGGTGGTGGGGAGGAGGGTGCGCCGTTTAGCTAGGGAGTATTAGGAAGGGAATGTCAAACGACTCCCTTCACTACTAGTGCCCCTTCCGCTGGGCAGTAATCCCAGGCCGCCGCCGCATCACATCACGCCAGCATGTGCTACATAACCCCAGCCGCTCCCGCCCCAATCCCTGCAACCCACCCCACACGAGAACACACCCCTCACACCATCCCACCTCCCCTCACCCACCCCTCCCCCCGCACCTGCGCATTGGACAGCTCCCGCAGCAACGTATCCTCCAGCGCCTGCAGCGTGGCCTTGTTCTCGCTCATCTGCTTGATCAGCGCCTCGCGCGCCTCCTCCAGGTCCGGCCGCTCGTGCCGCAACGTGACGTTGAGCAGCTGCTCCGTGAGGCCCATCTGCGTGACGCCGTAGTTGATGATCATGGTCTTGCCGCTGATCTCGGGTCCGTAGTGCGGGTTGGAGAGCTTGGAGGTCATGTAGAGCCGGAAGTTGCTGTCCCACTCCACCTCCTTATCGCCCAGCTTGATCACCGCCTTGCCGCTGCTGCCTGCGAGGCGGTGGGAGGGGGAGGGGTGGGAACAGGTCGGATTGAACATTAGATTGATACTTTGTTACGGTTTAGCTTTTCACGGTTTAGCTTTCAGACAGATACCGATATAAGCAAGGTTGAAGGTAACGTAGCTCTGGGCTACCCCTTTCTTCTCCTCTCCCCAGCCCTCTACCCTCCACCCCGCCTTCCCCCGTTGACATGGGACATGGGATTGGGATTCTAGTTGTTTGCACTTATTACATAAACTTATTATATAATTCCCCCCCTTTCTTCCCCCCCCGCCCCCCCCCCCCACGCACCCGGCACCAGGTTCTTCTCCAGCACTGGGTCGATCACGGGGTCGATGTACTCATCCAGGTTCTCAAACAGGAAGGGGAAGCCGTACTGGATGGCCAGCTCCAGCTGCTTCAGGAAGTCGCTGTCGTTGAAGGTCTTCACCTTGCCCTCCAGCATCTTGCCCTCGCGGCTCTTGATCCAGTTGACGGCTTGCATCTGGGAGGCGAGGGGGGCGGGGGGGGGGCGGGATGAGACGGGTAGGCAGGGCAGGGTAGAGCGGATTAGAGGTCCAGAGAAGTGAGAGAAAGAGGCTCAAGGAGGCGAGGAGGTAGGAGAGTGAGCCTCATTCCCTCCACTTCTTTACCACACATCTCCTCTCCCGGCATCGTCCTCCCCCACCCGCCCCATGGCTATGCTTTCCTCCAGGGTATTACCACCCGGCCCCCCAACAAACACCTCAGACACGTACCTGAGGGTCGATGCACAGCGGCCAGCGGTTGGCCCGCACCGTCAGGATGCCGTTCTGGATGCTCAGCTCGTCACTCGGCAGCCCCTCACTCGCCCAGGCAGTCGTCTCCACGTCACTCGTCAACAGCGACTCCAACCGGAAGGGCTGCGTCAGCGGCACCCCCCGCTCCAACACGTCACCCTGCCACATGTCGTACACCATGGCATGGCGGTAGGTTGCCGTGAAGGCGCCGGTGTACGACAGGAAGGATGACGTCAGCAGGCAGTCCCCGATGAGGCGGTCGCGGCGGGCCTCCAGGTCTGCGATGTCGCGGGTCCAGCGCTCCCGCTCGGAGCCCAGGCCGGCGATGAGCTTGGAGGCGGCCAGCAGGCGGCGCTCCATGAGGTCGGCCTTGGCCTGCAGGCAGGGAGGGAGCGAGGGGGGGAAGGAAGGGGAGGACGAAGCGCGGGTGGGGGAGATGTGTGTAAAGACGGTTATCAGGGTTTGGTATGTTCGACTCACATGGAAGGGAGGAGGCGACAATAGAGCCACAAAGTGTGCGGCAAACGTTATGCAAAAGCTATAGTCCTACAGACCGGAACACCCGCCTAACCCAGCTACCCCCTCCACCGCACCTTGAGATCCTGCTGCTCCGCCGTCTTCTCCTCGAACTGCTGCCTCAGCTGCCCCAGCTGCGAGTTGAGCGACTGCAGCTCCGCCTTGGTGTTGGTGAGGTCCTTCTGCGCGATGCGCAGGTTCTTCTCGCTCTCCGACACCTTCTTGCGCTTGGGCTCCACGGTTCGCGCCACGTTGTTGTAGTTGACCATGGCGAGAACCCACTTGAGCAGACCCGCACCCGCGATACTGATGTTCTGTGGGTGGTGATTTGGGGGTTGGGAGTGAGGCAGGGAGGGAGGGAGGGAGGGAGGGAGGGAGGGGGGGAAGCGCGTGTCTGAAAATTGAGGAGGGCCCTGGTACGGGAGAAGCCCATGCATGGCATTACATCAGCTACCAGGTTTTGCCCGTGCAGAGAGGCCCCTGCAACAGCAACATGCAGACACCCCCCACTCCGCACTCCGCCCTCCGCTCCCCCCACCTTGAGGCTGTCGTAGTTGAAGTTCTTGTCCTTCAGGTACTCCTTCACGCGCTTGACCTGCTTGTCGGTCAGCGAGTCCTTGTCGAACTCCAGCAGCGAGCGCAGGAAGTTGCCGTCCGCCATCATGGCCTTGGCGCCCTGCCACGACACCTCCTTCAGGTTGCGCAGGATCACAACGCACTCGCACACCTGGGTGGGTTGGGGGGGGGTGAGGGGAGGGGGAGGTAAGGAGGAAAAAATAACTGACTGTGTGATAAGGCGTTATCATGGGGGAGGGGGGCAGCAAGCGAGGGTGTGTAAGAAATGCCCGGCGGGATCCACGTTGCCCCAAGTGAGGTGGCAGGAATCGCTAGGCACTGCCGTAGGTTTGGCATAGCTTGGCTAACGGCTGCCCACCCACCCACCCACCTTCTGCACCATGTCATGCGGCTTGGAGAACGACCGAATCTCGGTAATGTGGTCCTTCGACAAGTCCTGCAACGCCGCCGCCGCCTCCTCCAGCGCGGGAATCGCCTCCTCCAACGCCGCCTCCGCCTCCGCCTTCTCCACCGAAATCTGCTCCGCATCAATCTTCAGCTGCACCTCCTTCTCGCCCGCCGCCTTGGCCTTGGCCTCCACCTCCACCGTGTTGGTGCTGATCACCTCCAGCAACTCGTTACACTCCTTGGTCGCCTGCTCCACCACTACCTTGGCCTGGCTGAGCTCCTTCTGCATGGCATCCACCTCCACGGCCGCCTGGATGAGCTTCTCCAGGCCCCCCGACAGGCGGCTGACGGTGTCCTGGATGGTGCGCCGGTTGGATGCCAGCGCGCGCTTGTAGTTGTTGATGAAGTCCAGGTAGTTCTTGGGGGTCACGTAGTTGTAGCGGCGCAACTCCTCCTGCAGGCGGGTGAGGTGGGAGGGGAGGGCGGACATGAGGACAGGGAAGGAGCGGTGGTACGTTATAGAACCGACAAGAGGAGCGATGCCTTACCCATGCTATGTGCGAAGGTCGGGTCGTGCACCCGCCTCTTACATGACCAGCCTCGACCCCCCCTCACCCCCCCTCCTCCCCAGCCCCCCACTGCCCACCAGGAATCGCGAGGAGAAGGTCCGCACGCTCTGGTGCACCGTCACCATGTGCTCCACGATCTGCGGCCGCAGCGCCTCCGGCAGCTGCTCCTCCGCCAGGAACACCGAGGCCACACTAGTAAGAGCCTGCTCCGGCCAGGGCTCGAACCAGTCAATCACCGTGTTGTTCACCATGCCGGGGAAGTTACGGCAGCGCGAGCGCAGGCTCTCGCCCACAGGACTCATCGCCAGTACGACATGCAGGTTCGTACGGCATTTGTCCACGTAGTACGACCAGCAGGATTCCTTGGTGGCGAACAGCCCGCGTTTCTCCACCTCGCCGCGAACGCCGTTGATCAGGCCTTCCTTCTCTGCGCCATCGTACAACGCGGGAACCATTCCGCTGGTAAGCATGTTATTGATCAGCTCCAGGAAGCCCTCGTCCGCCACGTGGGCGTCCGTGAAGAGGAACATCACACGCTTGTTGTCGGCGCCCAACATGCCGTACAGGCGCTTCAGGTCCTCCCGGAAAGCAGCTTCATCGTAGCCGCGGGTGAGGGTGATCTCGAAGACATCGCAGCCCGCGGTGAAGGAGGCGAGGCGGGAGAGGCTCTGCTTGCCGCTGCCGCCCACGCCCACCAGCAGGCAGTTGCCCTGGCCAGTGTGGGTACGGTAGCAGCAACGGTAGCAATGGAGCATGGAAGTTATTGAGTGATTGAGGATTAGCCCAACACCAGTCCTATCTCAAAGTCCGCAATGGGGCACAGCAACTACCGTTATGTCCACCTTAACAGCACAAGCTTAGCAGATTGCACTGGTATACCCAAGTAAGCCTCATCCCATCCCATCCCCACCCAACAACATCCCATCCCCCATCTCCTTATCTTACCTGCGGCAGCCTCAGCGTGCGGTGGATGCGCGTGAGGTGCTCCAGCGCGTCCTCGAAGAAGACCAGGTTGAGCGGCTTGCGCTTGCGGTTGTAGATGGCCATGATCTCCTCGAACAGCGGCTTGATGGACGCGTAGTCACCCATGTCGTCGTACATGCGGGGAGCCACCTCGCCCTCGCCCAGCAGCTCGTTCACGGCGTGCCTGGGAGGGCGGGCGGGGGGGGGGGGTTAATTTGGAGACAGAATCCGCATTAAGCTGGATAGTTGGGGAAGCAAATAACTGTAGTTGTTGTATAGTTAGTAGCATTAATCAATAACAAACCGTACTTTAAGGGGGGGGAGGGGGAGGTGGGAAGGGAAGGGAGGGGAGAGAGGTGCGTGTGTGGAGATAGGCGTGATGCACACGAGGGGTGAGAGAGAGGTGTGTAGGTGCAGTGTGGTGTGGGTAGGGCAGTTCAGCAGTTTCAGCTCGAGCTCATCCCCGGCCCATCCTTCCAAAACTCCCCCCATCCTCCCATCCGCCTCTTCCACTCCCAAATGTCCCACTCCCACCCCCCTCTCTCCCTACTTGAAGTCCCCGAACAGCACGGGTGACGCCAGCGTGTGTGCCGCCAAGTTGGGAAACTTCTGCTGCACCAGCGCCTCCATGCGCTCCGTCACCAGCCGCTTGTCCTCCGCGCTGATCAGCCGGTCGTGCAGCACGCGGAGAGACTCGTTGCGCCACAGCCGCAGGAACTGCTCGGGCGTCTTGAAGCAGTCGCCTGGGGGGCGGGGATGGGGTTGGGCGGGTGTGGGTCAGGAGGGGAAGTGGGGATGAGTGGGGAAGACGTGCCCATGACTGGCCCATGATGCTCAACCCGAGATGTTGCCCGTCTACATTGCCCGCAGTACCGACACCCATGTCAGCCATGCAGAGGCGCCATGCTCGAAGGTCCCGGCCGCGAGTTGCCTTGCCATGCCGTCCTTCGTGTGCCTTGCCGGCTTGGCCTCTCCTGCCAAAGGAGGCATCAAGAGCCACGAGGACAGCTCACACAGGGCCCCCCGGTCCCCCCGCCCCCCGATCCCCCCGCCCCCCCCCCCGGTGCGCACCCACGGACAGCAGCAGCCCCTCGTAAATGCGCGATAGGTCGCGGAGGTTGAAGATGTAGTGGAAGCGCGAGGGGGTGGGCGGCAGCTTGTCGATGATGAAGTTGTAGAGCTCCAGGGTGACGTCCGTGAGCCGCTCGCCCAGCTGGTCGCGGATCTCGTCGGAGGGCAGCTTGGCCAGGTGGCGGCTCAGGATGGCCTGACAGGGGAAGGGGGGGGGGGAGAAGGAAGGGAGGGTGTTGGGAAGAAATACTGTATCGTATGTGAGCGTAAGGCGGGAAACGTGTCGCACCCTGTCCCTGTTGTTGTTCCATGCCGCCCCTAACGCTACCGTGGGGCCGCACACACACAACGCTCCGCCCGCCCAGCCCCATCTCAGCCAGCCAGCCAGCCCGCCGCAGCACGTACCTGGTAGATTGTCCGCAGGTTCTCATTGCTTGGGAACTGGATCTCAAACACGCTAAACAGCGAGATGAAGCGCGGGTCCACCGGGTTTCGCGCCCCTCCCGGCGGCCCCATGGCCGCCACCACCTGCACGTCCTTCATGTTCTTCCAGCTCAGCTCCTTGCCCCGGTCGTACAGCCCGCGCCGCTCGATGAAGAGCTTGAGCAGCGCAATGGGCTGCTGGGTGCCGTAGGTGTCCACGCGGGGCATGTTGAGGTCGTCGATGAACATGAGCAGCCGCTTGCCCATGGGGGGGCCGTAGGTGTCCTGGGGGGGGAGGGGGGGGGGAGGGGGGGGGGGGAGGGGGGTGGAGTCAGAGCTGGGAAGGGACGTTGGCCGAACCGCAGCAGACGGCGGTAGGATGTTGTTTGAGGACTCGTGGTCACATGCAAGGCCTCTGTCCGGTCCCCTCGCGTGCTCCACCGCACACACATTGCCATATAAATAGCATCCAGCCCGGAAGCGGTACTGCTGCTGCCACCCCCACCTCCCGCTCCCCCCCACCCGTGTTCTCTTCCCAACCCTTGTTGAAACCTCGTCATACAGCCCGTAAGTTCCCCCACACACACCCCCACCTTTGTCCTCTTCTCCGTGGAGTCCTCGATGGCCCGCTGCACGTCCAGCGAGGAGGTGCGCGAGGAGAAGTTGACGTTGAGCACGATGTTGACGGTGCCGTCCAGGTGCGCCAGGTAGTTGGCGATGGTGACGGACTTGGCGGTGCCGCTCTCACCCACGAACAGGCAGGGCTTGCCGGAGGACACCACCGTGTTGAGAAGCCAGGTGGACCTGCGAGGAGCAGATTAACGTAGGACACCGTAAGCTAGACAATTGGTTTGGGAGAGGTGGCCGAACAGGTGTTGAATGCGGCCTTGAAGCGCAGATAAAGACGGGCAGTATGAGGCAAACGTAAAAGCACGCAGACAACGCGTTTTCACTCTTTCCATCCAGCATCACCACCACCTCCCTCCCGCCTCCCGCCCCCCACCTGACCACATCCACGGTGGGCACCAGGATCTTGCTGAACGCGCCGTCCGCGGGCGGCTCGTAGGGCTGTAGGTAGGAGCGCCAGCTCTTCCACACGCCCTCGTTGGTGTCGAAGCAGTACTCGTACAGCGAGCGCGCGGGCAGCTGCGTGGCCGCCACCCGCTCGCCGTCCACCAGCCCCATGCTGGCGATGTGCTTCACAAAGGCGTCGAAGCGGTCGCGGTCGGGACACTCGGGCCGCTGCACCAGCGCGGCGCCTGGGGGGGAGGGGGAAAGAAAAATATCCAATGGAGGGGTGGAGAGGGAGGGGGTGAGATACGGCAGCCAGGACAGCCACGGCGGGTGCACATTCAAGATTCGCAGGCATGGGCAACACGACGTCTGGCATGCAAACCCGCCGCCCCTTCTTGGATACCCCCTGCCCCCCCCCGCAGATACACGCACAGTACATCTCAGTACGCTCCAACTCGCGGCCAGCTTCCTTACTACACACACACCCGCACCAGCGCCTACTCACCCAGTGACCAAATGGTGCAGAACAGGAAGATCGCCTCCAGTATCTGCGGGTCCGCCATGCGCGGGTGGTCGGTGATGGTGATGTTGAGCAGGTTGCACAGCTGAGCCACCATGTTGAGTGAGGTGACGGGAACCGCCTGCTTGGGCCGCCGCACCAGCTCCTCGCCGTCAATGCCCTCCAACACCCAGTCAACGGCGGGTACGGCGTACTTCTCGAACAGGCCGCGAAGGATGTCCACCTCGCCTTGTTTGGGTCGGGAGTTGAGCCAGGTGTAGATGTAGGGCTTGTAGCCCAGGTTGCGGCTGTCCACGTAGACCATGCCGCATCTGCGGAGGTGCGGCAGGGCAGGGCAGGGAAAGGCGGGTGGCGGAAGCGGTTCCTTAGTGCTGGAAGGTTGAAGCATATAGACACTGCATGGGCAAGGTAGAAGCACGTTGGGAGCTGGCCTGTGGTTGCGTTACGCCGCCCCACTCAGTCACAATTTCCTCAGCCCGCCTCCCTGCCATCACCCCACCAGCCACCTGCCCGCCCCCACCTGCTGATGGTGGCCGGCGAAGCGAATTGCAGGTCAAACACCTCGAACAGCAACTTGCAGTGGTTCTGCAATCGGATGCGCTCGCCGTTGGGCAGCGTGAGCAGCTTGTTGTCGTCCATCACGCTGTTCATGTTCTCCACCCACACCGCGTCAACGTCGCCGTCAAACACGAGGTAGCGAGCCTCGTCGCGCTCGGGCGGCAGCGGCTTGTTCATCTCCCTGCACGGATGGTAGAACACGCGCATGTTGAGTGTCATGCATGCATGCATGTACGCGGGATGCGGTTCGGCTCGGCTTTAAAGCGACATCGCATACCGCCATGCCCGCTCTCTCCGCAGGATGCCTACCACCGGCACCCTAAGAAGCCCCGAAAGCCCACATCTGACCCACGTCTGTCAAGCACCACCCCCACCTGAATATGTTGGAAAGCAGCCCGTCCGTCCAGTCGCGCGTGTCCTTATCCAGCACGCCGTACAGCTCCGACACGCTGATGGCCTTGGGGTTGATGGTGTACAGGTGCGTCCGCTTGCCCAGCTTGGTCTGTGCGCGCGAAAGCGTGTTGAGGATGACGGTCTTGCCGCCGCCCGTCTGACCCACCACCATGGTTGTGTGGCGGGTCATCATCACCTCGTACAGCTGCACGATCTTGTCAACCTGGGGGGTGGGGTGGGTGGGTGGGAGCGGGGTGGGGTTGAGTTGGTGCCTTACCTGACCCGCATGTGCACGCTGCTGGGATGTGCTGCCAGGTAGCACGCTACCGCCTCGCGGATTCAGACGCGGACAGCCCCGTTTAAATGCAAGCCATTCCGTAAAGCCATTCTACCCGCCAAGCTCCCATCCCGCCCCCGGCCCCTCTCATCCCCCACCCTCCCACCCCCCCTTCTGCTCGTCAGTTTCGTCCTTTAACCCACCTGCTCGCTGGGCTCCGTGAGCACCTTGTACCCCTGGTCCGCCAGGTCCGCCTCCACCACATCGTTGAACTGCGGGTAGCGCACGCGGGGGCAGTCCATGCCTGGGGGAGGGGGGGAAGGGGGAAGAGGGGGGGAGGGTTAGGCAAGGGGGGCACGAAGGGAAACGAGCTTCGATGGTTTTCGCAGCGTCTGCTAGCCGTATAATGCCTTACCACCAACCCCCGAAATCAATGGCGAAGCATCACCATACAGCTCTCGTCAGTTTCATCTCCCCTTCCCCCCCTCGTTGACTCGTTGCTTCACTTATAAAAAATTTCCCCCATCCCTCCCCCTCTCCTCACCCGGGAACAGGTCGTTGATGAGCCCCAGGAACAGCGGCACATCGTCGAAAATGAACTTGGGCAGGTTCATGTCACGCAGTGCCCGCATCAGCACCAGCTGCTCCGACATGTCGGGCGCGCCGCGCTTCAGACTGCCCGCCATCACCAGCACCGACTTGAGCGCACGCAGCCCGAAGTCGTAGTGGTGCTGCTTGGAGAGCTGCTCGCGCGAGAGCTTGTACAGCACCGTCATCTTCTTGGCCAGCACCTTGGCGGAGTCGAAGCCCTCCGAGAAGAGCATGATCTCGCAGATCTGCTCCAGGTCGGGAACCACCATGGTGACGGGGCGGAAGAGCGCCTGGGGGGGTGGAGTGGGGTGGGGTGCAGGGGAGGAGGGACGAGGCGTGTCAGAACATGTGGAACTGATGGATCCCTACGAAAAGCTCGCGCTTTCCCCGGCTTCCACCCTCCCCTCCCCAGACGTCAGAAGTCACCCCGAGCCAGCCAGACCGACGACAAGCCCGTTTGCTACCCACCTACCTCCCTAGCTCGTTAGTTGCCCCGTCAGTTTCCTTGCTTTTTCCCTCCCTACCTTGAGGTTATCCGGCAGCTCCGTGCGTCCCGCGTAGCCGGGGTTCATGGTGATGAAGATGCCGGTGCGCGGGTCGATGTTGATTTCCTTGCCCTCGAACTGGAAGCGCGTGAGGTCGTTCTTGAGCGCCTCCTGGATCTGCTTGATCTGGCTGGACACCACCGACAGCACCTCCGCCTCGATGCGGTTGAACTCGTCGAAGCAGCCCCACGCGCCGCACTGCACCAGGCCGCTGAAGATGGAGCCCATGGCCTGCAGGGGGGGAGGGGGGGGGTGGGAAATTAAATATGTGAAACAACGAATCCCAATCCCATATCCCGACTCATGCAGTGAGCGCATTCAGGGGGGGGGGGCGGGGGCAAAAGAAGGGACCCGATGTGTTGAGTGTTGAATGGGAATGGTAAACAAGACGAGGGGGGAAGGGGGACAGTGGGGAGGGTGAAGAGGAAGCAACTACTAGCAAACACCGGGGAGGGAGGACATCGGGAAGGGGAGGGAGGGAGGGGACACCGGATCCCCGCAGCGGAAAAAGGCCGTGGGGCACACGAGGCAAGTGATAACGGAGTTTGCGTGCTGCGCTTGCCGCATGCATGCTACCTCTCTCACCCCACCCCGCCCCACCTCATTTCCCAACCCCCACCTACCTTGTAGTCCAGCCCCTCCCCGCAGTTGAACACCACACACAGCAGCGCCATGCTCTTGGCCAGGTCCTTGGTGGTCTCCGTCTTGCCTGCGAGTGCAGCAGGGGTGGAGGGGTGGAAGGCAGGAGAGATGGGCAGCAGGGGGCAATGCAAGCCCGTACGAGTCACCTTCTGCCAAGTAACGGACCAAGCTACGTAACTTGCGAACCCTGTCCTAACCCTACCCCCCCCCCCAGGCCCCGCCAGCCCCAGCCCCCCCCCCGCCTCGCACCTGTCCCCGCCGGCCCCGCCGGTGCCCCTCCCAGTCGGTAGGTGAGGGCGGTGGTGAGGGTCATGTAGCAGCGGTCGGTGAGCGCGGTGATGACCAGCCGCCCGTTGAGACCCATGTACTCGTAGCCGTACTTGAACAGACCTGGGGGCAGGGGAGGGGGGCCATGGTAAGGGGGACAAAGGAGCAGGAGGTGGTGGTTGGGGACACGGGCAGGGGCTAGGCAACACGTTGCGTGTATCGCGCGCGCAGTTTGCCAACACAAGCATGTAAAGCGAGGACCCCAGTGACCCCCAGGGCTTGGCTCAGCATGTGCCGCCCCTGCCGCTTTCCGGTGCTCTCATCCAGCCTGGCCCCCCCCTCCCTGCCCTCAGCGAGCTCTAGGGCTCCCACCCGTGCACTGGCGGATGAGGATGTCGTCCTGCTGGCGGTCCCAGTAGAAGCGCAGCTGGCTCTCCCACGCGAACTCGCGCGCGTCCACGATGGAGTCGCGGACGTAGGTGTCGATGATGTCGCGCGCGTGCACGTCGATGATGATGAGCGTGTTCACCTTCTTGCGCACCTCGTTGCTCAGGTCGCTGCGGACCTGGGGGGGGGGGGAGGGGATGCATGCATGAGGTTTATTACGTGTTGGGGCAGCAAAGCAAAAACAGCGACAGTAACAGACCGAGCAACAACAGCTCTCAACAGTTCTCAGAGCCAACGTATCCCTGCCCTCCCCGCCCGACCAGCCCCCCCCCGCCAAAGCAGCCCCCACGTGCTCCACCCCGCCACCCCGCCAAACCCCTCCCACCCACCATGCCCGTCAGCTCCGACAGCTGCCCCGTCAGCTTGGCCGCGAACTCCTTCATGGCGTGCTTGTTGCCGTCGCGCACGCGGCGGAACACGTCCTCCGTCTCCCAGGTCCACCAGATCTGGCTGCCCACCAGCGTCACCATGCCCAGGTTCTCGCTGATCCACTTGGTGCGGGGCGACTTGGCGTAGTAGAATATGCCCTCCTTGGTGATCTGCAGGCAGGGGGGGAGTGGGGGAGGGGGGATGCGTGGGGTTGGGATAGAGGGCTGCCAGTAAGGGAACCTGGGAGCGCAGAAACAGGGGTCCCATGCGTGTATGCACGCATGCGGGGTTATCGCAACCTCACCTCTTCCGCACATGCACCCTCCGTTGCACCAGCCCAGCGCGGAATGTACATACCCTCACGCAGCCCAGCCACACCCTTTCCTGACCCCTCCCACCCCCTCCCGCCCCCACCTGGTACAGCGTCTTGCGCATCTCCGCCTCCACGTTGGTCATCCACAGCTCCACCGCGCCCTCAATGGGCACCACATTGCGGAACTCGAACCCCTCCTTCTCGCTGCTCACCATGCCCGTGATCGTCTTGTTGCCGCGACCAAACACAAGCGCCGCACAGTTGTCAAACAGCTTCAGCATGTGCTCCTGCACGCTGGTGGGATCGGACGTACCCAGGATGGATAGCAGCTCGTCGTCCGAGATGAAGAAGAAACGCGGGAAGGCGCAGCGCTTGGTGTCCAGATACTCCGACAGACTCTTCTGGCAGATCTCCAGCTGTTCGGACAGCGATTTGAGCAGATCCAGCCGGCCCTCCGCCGTACACGCGTCCAACACCACCGTGTTCTTCGCCGTGTCGTTCATGATCTTCTGCCACTGCCGGTCAATGTTGTCAAAGCGCTTCGCCTCCGCGGGCAGCTGATGCCGAATGTCGTCCGAACCCACAAAGATGCTCTCCAGGTACATCCACTTGCGCTGCACATGCATCCACACCTCGATGCACTCCCCAATCAACGACAACTTCTGCTCCCAGGCTCGGACCTCCGTGAGGAAGGGCCGCACGAAGGGAGATGCCATCATGGACTGCAGGTTGAGGCCCATGTCTTCGAGCAGCACCAGGATGTCTTCCGTTGAGCGCAGCACCCAGCCGCGGTCCTCCGGGCCCTTCATGTACTTGCCCAGCTCGAAGCGCTGCTCGCGCCACACGTCCGCCAGCTTCTTGATCTCCGACTCGATCTGCGGTGGGGGAGGTGGAGAGGAGAGGGAGGGATGGGAATAGATGGATGGATGAATGCGGGAAGCGTGAGGCTTCAACTTCGGTACTACTACAAAATAGCATACTGGCAGTTCAAGACTGACCGGCTAACAAAAGCGCTGCGCACATGCATCCGCCCGCTCCCACCCTTCCTCCCCTCCCTCTCACGCCTTTCACACGGTTGTTGGTTAGTTGCTTCCTCTTCCCCTCCTCCCCTCCCCCTCACCGTGAGTTCCTTGATGGCCGCATTTGTGATCTTGCCAATCTCCTCCGCGTACTTGTGCAGCTGCATGGCGAACATGTTGCCCAGCGTGAAGGTCTTGGGGTCCATGTCGAACTCCTGGCCCGTCACCTCCATCAGCCGAGTCCAGTGACGCTTCCTGCAGGCAGGTGGGGGGGATTGGAGGTAGGGAGGGGCGGAGGGAGGTAGGGCGGAGGCAGGGAGGGAGTGCTGGTGAGAAGTTCTTTCTCGGCAAACAAGCATGGCCCCCAAGCTGTGCGATCTACCCCTCCCTAGGCCCGCCTTATTGTACTTTACACACCCCACCCCGTCCCCCACCCCGCCCCCACCCCCATCCTAGTGCTTTATTTCTAAATGGTAGGGTGAGGCCCCTACCATCACCACCACCATGCACCCGCACATGATAAACTTAAACACCCCGCAATATACTCCCCGCCCCGCCCCACCACCACCCCCCCCCTCCCCACCCACCTCAACGCCTCGCTCTTGAGCTCCTTCATGAGCGGCAGCGAGTTGTAGAAGCCCTGGATCTCCTTCTCCACCAGCTCGTACACCGGCAGCAGCTTCAGGCTCTTCAGCTTGCGCTGCCGCGTCAGGATCGCCTCCGTGCCCGCCATCATCTTGCCCACGTCCAGCTCGCTCCACAGCTGGCTGGAGTACTGCCGGACCGCCTCCGCGTGCTCGGCATACACGCCGTACACCTGCACCGTGTACGGCAGGCATCCGTAGGGTGTGTAGGGGAGATGTCGAGAACGAGACGAGACGGTACCTCCATGATTTCCGCTTTGTAACCCTCACCAGTAACGCACCAAGTCCTATGTATAAGCAGCCCCTTTCATAACCTCCCCTGCTCTCCTGCCCAGCCCAGTCCTCTCTCCCTCCCACCTATCCCTACGAACCCCCTCCCCACCTGCGCCAGCTTGCGTATCTCCGCCTCCAGCTGCGCCAGCTCCGGGTAGGCGGTAATAGGCATGTCAAACAGCTTCTCCGCCAGCACCAGCTGCTCCCGCTGCCGCAACGCGTCCTGCAGCGCCCCCTCGTACTTGTGCAGCTCATCCAACCCCACCGGCAGCTCCACACTCGGCAACCCGGGACCGCTGCTCCGAAACCGCTCCCACAGCTCCGCCGTGAAGGCGGAGAACTCGGCGACCTGGTGCCGCGTGGTTTCGGAGAACTTCTTCTTGGTGTCCTCCAGCGACCAGTCCACCTCCTCGGCTTCGTTCAGCAGGGAAAGCCACAGCGCGCGGACCTGGCAGGCGGAGGCGAGCTCGCCCTCGCATGCTGCGGTTTCCTCGGGGCTGGTTGCGTAGAGCAGGCGGGTGCGGTAGCGCTCCTCCAAGTCGGTGTAGCGCAACTCCATCAGCATGCTCTCACCCCTGGGGGGCGGGCAGGAGGGGGAGGCGGAAGGGGGGAGAAGGGTCAAAGACCATACCGAACCATAGGAAACCGCAGGTTAGGGCAAAGCCATAGGGATAGGAGACAAGTGCCAGCAGAGTGCCGCAGTACAAGTGCAGGGCAAGGGGGACACGGCAGCGGAGTCAGCATGCTACGCACCCTGAACTCTATTCTTTCGAACCGGCGCCAACAGGGAAGGGACAGGGACAGGGGACTTCGGTTGAGGGCGCCGGTTCAGTTATTAGCCAGTGCGCGGCCAGGCACTCTCACTAAGCGACGGAACAGGAAAGAAACGGGCAGCAGCCTTACAGCCGCATGATCACATGGAGACATGGTGGATCCCTCCGACCCCCCGCCCCAAATCCCCCCCAGCCCCCACCTGATGGTGTTGACGGTGTTGAGCACCTGCTTCAGCTCCTCCAGCGTGGAGGGCGGCCGGTGCAGCGCCGCCTGGTACTTGGCGATCTTGTCGCGCAGCGCCGCCTCCGTGCCCGCATCCAACTCCCGCATCGACTGCGCGATGGCGCGAACCCACGCAAGCGACTCATCACACACGGAGGAGGCCAACGCGTGGCAGGACACGCGGATAAAGTCCTGGTCAAAGTCCTTGGCCTGGGCGGAGATTTCGACCGCCATTTTGGCGTATTTGGAGAGCTTTTCCTCGAACTGTGCTGCCGACGGGTCTCGCGCCTTGAACTTGTCGAGCACGGAATTCTTGTCGGTTTTCCAGAGTGACTGGTGGCGGCGCCAGCTCTCGGTGTATTTGTTGACGCTGGTGATGGCTTTTTGGATGGACTGGTTGAGCTGCAGCATGGTCTTGATGACCTGTTGGGGAGGAGCGGGGGGGAGAAGGGGGGGGGAAGCGGGTGGTCAGAGTAGGCACACACCTAGGGGGGCAGAGGAGAAGTAAAATCAGCCCTGCATGCGCATCGGCGAGGTGTTCCCGAAAGTCCCACAAAACAAGACGCTCTCCCAGACAGTCACACAGTTACTCCACTCCACAGGGCTGGGACGCTGGGACGACCCTTATAGCGCCCCACCCCCACAGGTCCATGTCCCCCTCCATGCACCCCCCACCCTCTTCCCCCCCTTACCTGAGGGTTCGCCGCCACATCCCAGTAAAACGTAAACACAATGGGCTCATCGTCCTCACTGGCCCCCCGCTGCTCCGGCGTCTCCACGCACGTGCCGTCCATCCACCTCACAAACGCCTTGGTCGACTCCACCAGGCTCCTCACCAGCCGCCCCAGCGCCTTGTTCACTTCCGTCATGGGCGGCTGCACCACCACATCCACACTCTGCAGCGACACCGTCACCTTGAAGAGGGGCGCCTTGCGAGGGCCGTCGTAGTGCTTGCTGCGCTCGTCAATCATGGTCTGCAGGCGGGGGGGGAGGAGGGAGATGGGATGGGAGGGGTAAAGATAAATGAGAAGTGAAGCAACTGGAGTCCTGATCCCGTATGCCGAGGGAGGAGAGGTGGCGGTGGAGCTGCCGCTGTAGGCCACAGCTGACGCCATCAAGTACCGGTACTGACTGCGACTGCGCGATGTAGGAAAGAAAGACCGGAGCAAGGGAAGTACCAGCAAGCCTGCAACTCTGAAGCAAGCCCCTTTACCCCTATTACCCTTACCGTCCCGCCTCAACACCAAGTTCCTCCCTCCTCCCTCCAAGTCCCTTTCCCCTCCCTCCTCCTATGATCCTTGCGGCCTTCTTTTACCCAATCCCTCCTTCCTCCTCCCCCCCCCGCGCCACCAAACTAACCTGCAGCGTGCTCATGGCGCTGAGCACCATGGTGTTCAGCGCATTGAAGATGGCCCGCTCCCAGAACGCGTAGTAGCCCCCCAGCGCCGGCGACTTGCCGCTGTTGGTTCCCGCCACCACCTCCTCTATCTTGCCCAGCAGCGGGCTGATGGTGCGATACTTCTTGACCAGCACCTCCAGGGCGGCCAGCCGCTGCCGCTCAATGTGCTCGTAGAACTCCTGCAGGTCCATCACCTCGGAGCCTTTGGGAAGGGAGGGGAGGGGGGGGAGAGTCAAAGATACACCAGAACCACAGGCAATTGGGATATAGTCAAGCAGTTTGTCACGAGGAAGGGTGAGGTGGTGGGGGTGCGGGGAGGGGTGAGGTGGCGGGTGGTAATGCGAAAAGGGGTAACCTTAAGCTGCCTTAAGAGGAGAAGGGAGGGGAAAGAAGAAGACCCATGCGTTAAATGGTCGTGGGGAGAGGGAGGGGATGAGGAATGTGTTTAGGATTGCTAGGGGTGAGTGTTACCTCTTATGCCATGCAGTTCCTTTCCCTTCCCCCTCTCCCCGCACATTCCCCGCGGCTCATTTCCTCCAACCCTTCACCCCATCAATCACAGCACGGTACTTCCCACAGCACGGTAGACCTTCACAACAATGTGACAAGCTTCCCCCCCTCCGCCCCCCCCTCTCCTCCCCCCCTCCGCCCCCCCCCTCTCCTCACCCTCCTCCGGCTCCTTCACCAGCCTCGCCCCCGCAATGGCGTACACCACCTGCTCTATGATGCCGCTGTTCTTCTGGACCTGCTTCACCAGCTGCTGGAAGGTGGCGATGGCCTTGTCGCACGCCCCGATGAACTCGCTGATGCCCAGGCTGTTCCAGTTGAGGATGGTGAACCCCGGCTGCAGGCAGCCCTCCAGCTCCTCCAGCTTGCGCTCCATCAGCTCGCGCTCCACGGGGGTGAGCTGGTCGATGGACTGGGGTGGGGGGGAATGGGGGGGGGTTAATATGGAAACAGAATCCGCATGAGGGGGGGGGGGGTCGAAGGAACAGACCGCGTTGGAGTGAGCATAAGACCGGGCGGGGTAGGACGTGTATAGGCGAGGTAGGGTTTGAATGGAGAGGGCCCCCTAGGGCCCTTCACACCGCCGCTGCATCACCCCCCCCACACACACACACCTCGTAGTACTTTGCCAGCATGGAGTTGAGTCCCTCCAGCCACTGCAGGAACTTGTCCTCCTGCAGCGCCACGTTGAGCGCGATCTCGGGGATGGGGAAGCCCATGCGGTCTAGGTAGCGCGTCTCGCGGATGAGGCGGACCAGGTCGGTGTGGAAGTTCACCTCCACGCGGTCTGGTGGTGGGGGAGAAGTAACAGGGATACATGTTCCACATTAGGCTCGATACCGTTGTTGGGTACAATTAGCGTACAATTGTGGGGGCAGGGGAGGGAGGGGAGGGAGATACGCCAAAACCACGGTTTGGGGAGAGGGGCGAGGCGGGGTGTCAGGGAGGGCGAAGCCGTCCTGAAGGGGCAAGCATAAGTGAGGGGGAGCAGCATGTGACGCATCTTAGAACCACCGTTGCAACTCCCTCTCCCTCCCTCCCTCCCAACCCTCTCCTGGACTCACTGCTGGTGGTGTTGCGCCGGAAAATGGTTTGCTTGAGGTGCTGCATGGCCACTCCGTTGATGCTGTCGCTCCAGCCGCTGAACCACTTCTTCTCCGTCTGCATCACCGACCGAGCAAACGCCTTGAACTTGGCCTCCACCGCCTGACCCACCTCCGTGCTGCGGACTATCTCCTGCGGAGGGTCGGGGGTAGGTTGGAGGTGGGGGATTACATAAACTGAGCCGCAGAAGAGGGGTACGTCGGCATCGCCAGCATGCAATGCGGACTATGCGGTGCTACCGGTAACCCCCCTCCCCGCAACTTCACAGTTCCCTCCAGCATCAATCCCCCGAACCATCCGGGGGCCCATGCATGAGACCCTATTCCACAATACGTACTGCCCGCTAAAAGCAGACAACCCCACCCCAACCCTGGTTTTCTAATGTTTGGTCTATTTTCACCCCTCCCCAATCCCCACCTCCTCCGTAGACAGCAGCTTCGCCATGGTCCGCTTGAGCCTCTCCAGCAGCGAGCGCACCCACTTGATGGCGCCCGCCACGGGGGGCTGGTTCTTGGTGACGGGCGGCGCGTCCTTGTTGGAGTCGAAGATCTCAGCGGTCTGCTCGATCTCGCGAGCAAACTGCTCCAGGATGTCGTTGAACTTGTTCATCACCTGGAGAGGGGGAGGGAGGAGGAGGAGGGGGAGTTGGGGTTAGATAAACGAGCCGCGGAAACACTGACCCTGACCGGTTGAGGGAGGGAGGGGTTGCGGATTGGGTTGCGGAGGGCCGGGTTCGGTGCAACGACAGGTTAGCATCCACGACACACCTCACGTGTTCCCGCCTTTCCTTCTTTCCCGCCCCCCGCTTCCTACCCACCCTCCACACCCACCCACACCCCTCCATCCCCACCCACTCGCCCTCCGCACCCCCCCACCTGCTTCTGAATGGCTCCCTTGGACTTGATGGACTTGAAGCTCTGCAGCAGCTCGCACGCGCCCTCCGCGGACCGCAGCTTGCGGAAGGAGGTGTCGATCAGCTCGCGCGTGGCGGCCTTGATGTCCTCGTTGTCCGAGTAGAACTGCGCCTTGGCGGCCTTCCACTCGTGGCTGTTGGCAAAGTCAAACACGTTGAAGGCGATGCTCTCGATGGGCTCGTACATGGCCACCACTCGGTGCACCACGCGGTCGATACCCGCGGTGTCGCCTGGGAGGAGGGGGGTGGCGGGGTGGCAGGAGGGGAGTGGAGGAGGTGGGAAGGGGGGTATCAGAATTAAAAGGAACATGGGTTGCTTTCCAAGCCGTTAGGAAACCAACCCGGTATACACCACTGGATCGTCCCGGTTATCACATGCGGGTATCCTGTTGTCACACAAACCCCATGTGGGGTATCCTGCTACATGCAAACATCCTACTATCCTTTGGCCAAAAGCGCACACGTGTAAGGTTGTGTAACCCAAGCAACCGACCGCCCAAGGGCTCTGCAGCCCCCCAAGCCACCCAAGCTACAGCACTGCTACTGGCACTGCTACCGCTACCGCTGCCCCCCTCACCCGTCACCGCCTTGAGCTCGGGCCCCAGGAAGCGGAAAAAGTCGTCCACAATCTCCACCATCTCTATCAGGTCCGCGCATATCTCCGCCATGTAGTTGGTGCGCGCGAACAGCAGCTGCTTGGGGAACTCCCAGCGCGCGTCCCGCCCGCTCAGCTCGATCTTCTCACGCATGGACATGTAGGTGGACAGCCAGTGCTCCAACACGCTCTTGCACACCTGGGAAGGGGGGGTGTGGAGGTGGGTGCGTGTACGTAGACTGGTTAGGGGTGGGGTGGTGCGGGGTGTAACAGATGATTGTAGTTACGAGTGGGTTCTCCCCGCTTGCATGCCGCAGGACCCCTGCGAAACACTGGCGCTTCACCCCTGCGCCACACTGGCTCCCCCCTCTCTCCCGCCCAGACCTTCCCTCCCCTTCCCGCAGCATGCTTCTTCATTCCCCCCCTCCCTCTCCGCCGCCCCCCCCCCTTCATCTTTCCCCCCCACCTTGAGCAGCTCCACCGCGTCCGATGAGGACATCCGGAAGATGTGCCGCAGGTCCACCGCGCTCTCAATCCGATCGCCAATCTCCCGCGCAATCCGCTGGAACAAGCTGCCCATGCGCTGGTCATCGCTGTAGTGCCGGCTGATGATCCACACCATACGCAGCGCATTCATCATGGGAGGCAACGTGTCCAGAATACCCGCCAGCGGCCCCGTGGAGATGTTCTTAAAGTGCCGCTCCAGCGTGGTCAGGAACTTGACGTTATCCCGCGCCTCCGTCGCCAGCTTCGTCAGCTCCCCCAGCTGCGACTTAAACCCCGCAATCAGGTTGCGGTCGTACGACCCCTTCTCCACCGTGCTAATCATGCGCTTGACCTGCGGCAGGTTGAGCTGCTCGTACAGACTGGACAGTACGGCATTTCGCTCCCGCCAGAATTCGATCTCCGCCAGCGGTCCCTTGCCGGTGGGGTGTTTCTGGCTCTCGCGCTGCAGCACGCTGGCCAGCACCTGCGACCACTCCGCCATGTACTGCTCCAGCGTGTTGATCAGGTCGCTGTCGGCGGCGGCGCGGTCCACGTCCTCCAGCGGCAGGTCGGGGAGCTGTTGGGGGGGTAGGGTGGAGGGGTAGGATATAACAGGTGAGATTAGGGCGTGAAGGATAAGGAGCCGCCGCTAGTCGACGGCATAGGCTTGCCTACTGGTGCCCTCTTCATTCATCCTTTTCGGCCACCTTCCTCACAGCTCATGGCCTGCCACTCATCCACATCTCCTTCCATCCCTCCACTCCATCCCCAGCCATCCCTCCACTCTCCCCTCCACCAAAATTACGCCCACCACCACCACCAGGAGCTTGTCATCTTCTTTTGCCAACATCATTCATTCAATTGGGTATTCTTCTTTCCACTCCCCCCACCTGCAGCGTCACATCCCCCGTCAGCTGCTGCAGCGCCTGCATGACCTGGCTGTGGAACTTCTGCATGTTGCCCAGCAGCTCCCGGTGCGCGCTGTGCGTCACCGACTGCATCAGCACGCCGCCGCTGCCGCTGCCGCCCGACGACACGCCGTCCCCGCCCGCCATCTGCAGCAGCACCGGCACAAACACGCTCGACAGCATCTGCTCCAGGATGCGCAGCGAGGGGCCCTCGCTCAGCAGCCCAAACTCCACCGCGGCGTCCAGCTCGTCCGCTGTGACGCGGCCGGGGCGGTTGAGGATGAGGTAGAAGGCGGGGCAGCTGCTGAGCTCCTCCGGGAGGGAGCCCAGGGCGACTGAGAGCTTGCTGACGGTCTTGGGGACGCTGATCACGCGGCGGACGTACTTGGGAGCGGGCGGCTGTGGGGCGGGAGGCATGGCGGAGTCCTCGCCCTCCGCGCCCTCGCCGGCGTCTTCGCCCGCGTCGCCGCTGCCTTCGCCGCTGCCGGCGGACTGCCCCCGGGAGGTTTCGGAGGCTGAGCCGGGGGGCACGGCCGTCGGGTCCGGGGCTGCTGTGGAGGCAGCGGCCTCTGTGGCTTCAGCGGAGGCGGGGGTTGGCTCGCCCTTGTCGCTGGGGGGCCGGTCGGTGGCGGCCGCGGTGCTGCCGTCCACCGAACCGTTGCCGGCAGCGGCACCGTCCGCACCGTCTGGAGGGGGGAGAAGAGGAGGCAGGAGGAGAGGGTGGTGCATATGAGGCGATGGGGATAAGGAGGCATTTGGGTTTGTTGAGGGTGAGGTTAGGGTCCATCACGGATGATTTGCATAAAGCCCTTCGCACAGCAGTTGCATGAAGCTCGCTAGACAGGCAAACCCAGATGCCAGCTTCAGCCTCCTGCCCACCTTCTGCTCCCTCCCCATCACGGCTCTCCGCCCCGTCGCCCTCCTCGCCATCTTCGTTGAAGGCCTGAGGCTCTTGCCTGTAGGCATAGCCAATTCGTGGTGAATCCCCGAAACCAGGGGCATGCGTGGGAAGCAGGGAAAGCCCAGCGGCACCTCTGAGACTTACTCCTCTACTAGGACGTCCTGGTACTCGTCCACATAGATTGTCGCTTGCTCAAGGGCAAACAGCAGTGCAGACGTCGACGCAGCTGCGCGCATGCAAGACGGTTTGGTAGTCAAGCAACGCTGCTCATGTACGTCCGGTTAAAACATGAATGTATCAACTATTCACCTCCATCAAGAAAGCTTGTGACTTTAGCTCTGTTTTCCGGACTGCTAGTTGCTTGTTCGAAGAGTTCGGGAGCGACGCCCAAGCCCAGGCACGCCTTTTCCTGAACCCATTCGAGTCGTCTGTCCACCATTATTCTATACTCCCTATAAACAGTAATGCGACATCGTTATAGAAAGCGCGGCATAAAAATTCCGCGCGGGTCGCGTATAAATATTTGACTGTCACCGAAGATACTTGCAAAAGACGAAATGGCTCAGACGCAGGCGTAATTTAGGAACGGCTTTGCATACTTCCTCCTTTTCGGCCTTTCGCCAAGGAGGTACGGGACCAGTATGTCCGTACAAATACATCAGGTTGCATGTTGGCCTGTATTACGAAATCCACAGACACGGTATCATACAATACCCTATAATTATTCTATGGACAGTCTGGCACTTGACCTTGGGCGTTCTCCAACTCCTTATCCAGCCCACGGCGTTTCACGTTGACAACGGATTTGTAATCCTCGATAGATGAGGTCCGTGTGAAGGATTGTGAGACTGGGGGGGTCGCGTATTGAGTTGCCGGCGCTTGGCGGGCAAGCCGTTGGCCGGGGAAACCGCATGCAGACATTGCCAGGGTTTGCCCTCTCATCGCCCATGTTGCACCTGTAGGATGATTATGACACAACCCATTAGGGAGAGTGCCATTTCGCAGGTCAGCGTGCGTGCTAATATGCTAGTGCCACACGGTGAGACCCAGATGGCGAACATGTGGCATGACAAGGCGTGACCTTACACAAGGACACAACTGCAAAATAGCTAGCTATCTGCCAATGCAGCGATGTCTTTTGTTTATTAGTCCTCGTCATGTTGTCTGGAAAATGGCGGCAACGGCGTTGGTGTCCCTTGACCTGTCAAGTATACACACGCATGACATTGACATTAAAACAACACACCGAGAAAGGTGCACACAAAGGGGCACACATACGCTGCCCTAACCACACATTCTCAGAGTATAGGGCATTTGCCCGGCATCTACGGCATAACCATTCAGCATTCGACATACAAGGAAACAAGTGTACAAGTTGACTTAACATCTAACCCCCCGGAGACGCTTGCTGCGCGCCCTACATCACGTCTACACGTCCAAGTCACACTACGACGTCCCTGATACCTGCCTGCCTGCTCGCCTATAATATAATTTGCGTCTAATACAGTCAAAGATATGCAAGTACAGCGAGTTTTCCTCTTTTATGCGTCTCCTCGTGCTCCTCTCCTTGCTCTTTGCATCCACTCATGCCTTGTGCCACCCGCACACACCCCACCACCGGCAGCTGCATGCTATAGCTGGCTCCTGCACCAGCCCATACCTGCGCATGCAACGCACCCACCCAGGTCGTACGGCACCCAAACTGTACGGCGCCCATAGCGTACGGTGCCGTACAACGCTGCCCCACCCGTACATCCCATTCGTCCTCCCAATCCGCCATCTCTATGACCGGTACCCTTGCAGCTACGCGCCCCTCCACCCAACCGTTCAGGTGACCCCCTGCGAGCACTTCGCAGGATCCCCCTGACATGGCCCTCCAGCCTCAATCGCCAAGCTGCAAAAGCGGCAGCCGCTCGATCTGATGTGTGGCGATTGCCTCCGCCGCTGTCTCCTCTGCACTCCGCCTCCACTCTTCGTCCCTGCTGCTGCTATCCATGCCTCGGCTTTAGCCCCAAATGACCACCGCCCCAACTTACCACGTCCAAATTCGCAGGCATGTCGCCTCCTCCGCCGCTCTCCTCTCTCCCTTCACTCCCGGGTAAACCCTCATTGCTTGCCATGCCTCCCTTGTCTCATGCCGCTCTCCGCTTCCATGCCTCTTCCCTCTCTCCAAAACCCTTACCACCACCCAACCCCAGTCCTCAGCCCCCCGCTGTCAAGAGCCCCCGACTGCCCAGTCCCCCTCCCCCTCCCCAGTTGCTTCATTTTCCCCCTCCCCCCCCCTCCTCCCCCTCCTCCTCCTTCTCCCCCTCTTCCTCCTCCCCCTCAGTTCTGCCGGTACCCAATGTACTTGGCCAGTGCCACCAGCGGTGCCGCTCGCGACGCTTCAAATCCCTCCAGCTGCGCAATCGCCTCGGAAATGAGGTCCTCCGCCACCTGCCGCGAGCGCTCCAGCCCCAGCAGCTTGGGGTAGGTTGTCTTGTTGACGGCCAGGTCCTTGGCGGCGGTCTTACCCAGCTGCTCGGTGGTGGCGGTGACGTCCAGGATGTCGTCGATAACCTGTGAGCGAGAGGGGGGGGGGGTGGGCCGGGTGGGTTGTGCAACATGAGGTACATGACAGTGTGCCCCTTTGCCCCCTTTCACCGCTTCCTTCCTGCCCTCCTTACCCCCCCCTCCCCCTATCCTCCGCCACCCTCCTCCTCCCCCCTACTAACCCGACTCCATTCCCATGGAGGCTGTCGTCTGGTTTGCACTTTCATTCAACGGATCGGGAATCCTCCCCCCCCCCCACACCCCTCCAACCTGGAACGCTAGCCCCTCCCCTCCACCCCCCTGGGACTCCAGTTGTTGCCCATACACCACCGGTATCCCCCCCAATCTGGACCGGTACCCCCCCCCCTCCCCCTCCTTGCATCGTCAGTGTCTCATTATATGTTTTTTACCTCCCCCTCCCACCTGGAATGCCAGCCCAATGTTGATGGAGTACTTGCGCAGCTTCTCAATCACCCCCTCCTCCGCGCCGCCCAGGATGGCGCCGCACACCACCGACGCCTCCAGCAGCGCCGCCGTCTTGTGGATGTGGATGTAGCGCAGCACCTCCAGCCCCACCTCCTTGTCCTCCGACTGGATGTCAACCACCTGGCCAGCAACCAGGCCCTCGGCGCCCGCAGCGCGACCCAGCTCCATAATCACCTGGAAGGGAGGGAGGGGGGGAGGGGGGGAGGTAAAAATAAGGAAACTGACGAGGCAACTAGCGAGCTGTAGCTGATAGGGAGGGGGGAAGGGAGGGAGGGGGGAATGGGAGGAAGCTGAGGGGCTGTATGACGCGGCGTCACCAAGGGGGGTGGGGCGGCAAACATGGTAGCCGAGCAGTACAGGGAAACAGGAAATGAGTGGAGTGGAGTGCAGTGGGGTGCGGTGAGGTGCGCACGTTGGGGGCACGTTGGGGGTGCATATGCAGGGGGATGTGCTTGCCTATTACAGGCGCATGCAGCAACGCTGCGACCTGCATAGGTGCCAACAACGCGCACTTCGCGCGGAGTTGTTCCGCCCCCGATTCCCCCGGCCCCGCCCCACCCCCGCCTCCCGTCCCATCCCCACTGATCTCACTAATCCCACGCCCCCCATCCCCCCCCCCCGCCCCTTGTTTGCATTTCTTATATAATTTTCCCCCCCCGCCCCTCACCCGCAGCACTCGGTCCGCGCTGGCTCCCTTGGTCGCCCGAGCAATGTGCTCGAACGCGAACGTCAGCAGCGCATCTCCCGACAGGATTGCGATGTCCTCGCCAAACACCTTGTGGTTGGTGGGGCGGCCGCGGCGGAAGTCGTCGTTGTCCATGGAGGGCAGGTCGTCGTGGATGAGCGACATGGTGTGCACCATCTCCATGGCGCAGGCGGCGGGCAGCGCGGAGTGCAGATCGCCTGCAGGAGGAGGGGGGGAGGCGGAGGCGGGTAAAGGAACAAACCGGGGGGAGGCGGGTTTAAGAAGGGGAGGGGGGGGAGGGAACATGGAAGGTGGGCAGGAGCGTGGGGGGAGTGGTTCAGGGATGAGGCAAAGCAAGAGAAACCACAAGGCAGGGAGAGGAGGTGGCGGGATCATGTTGGCTACGCATGTGGCAGCCCAGTGCGCCAGTGGGGAGATGGAGGGGCAGGGGAACGGGGGGACGCATGGGACCATGTGGGGTCAGCCGGGTGACAGGAGGTCGGAGTCGGAAAGGGGCGATAGGGCGCCCTAGGGATCAATGGACGGTAGCAGAGATGGCGGGGATGTGGGAGGATAGCGGGTGGGGATTGGCTGTGGCGTGCTGGGGGTCTTTTTGCTGGCTGCTGCCGACTGCGCAGCCCACGGGGTCAGCTGGGCTGGGCTGGACCTGCTCCCATTACTTCTGCTACAAGGTATAGCCCGCGATGCCATGAGCCCCTGTGCAACCATGCTGGCTGGGCTGCAGCAAAGGACTGGGGGTTGCTGGGGTCCGCCTGATGCATGCAGGATGCCATGCGTTACTGGGGCTGCGCCGTGAGGCTGCGTGCTTACCCCGCTGCGGTAGCTAGCCGACGGCGGGCCCTCCGGCCAGCTGCAACTGCGCAGCTGCGACTGGGAAGTGCGCTGGCATCCCTATCCCTATCCCGTCGCACGTCTATAACAACACCGAGAGCTGTCGTGAGAGCTAAGAGCTGTCTACTTGTGTGCGTGTCTTGCATACCGTATGGTAGCCGAGCATGGGGCCAACGCTTCCCTCCCAGCACCCACTCCTACATTCGTACCACCCCCAGCAAAGCACCGCAACAGGGCAGCAGCTGGGACTACCGGTCATCCCCACATCCGCATCCTTCCTCACTAATCCCCCCACCCGCAGCAGCCCAGCCCCCCACAACCCACCTCCAACCAGCTCGCACGCTGCCAAACAAAGCGCAGGCCGCACGCGCTTCCCGCCAGCAAGCAGCGAGTACCTGGGGGACATGGGAACATGGGATGTTGTAACGGCCGTTCGACTCGCGTGCGTTGCGTTGCATGAGTGCAGTATGGAAGGCACTGGAGCTCTGTACAGATGTTGTTGTGTGATCCATGGTCTACAGTGGCGCGTCCTTACCCTAAAGAGTCGATGGGGGAATGCAGCAGAGCAACACTCACCGCATGCTCTCATAGAGGGTATCCGGGTATTTCTGAGGTACAGCCTCGTCAAGAGCCTTGTTTACAAGCTTGGCGCGGTCAACCATGTATTGGTTGAAGTCGAACGAGGCCGCTACATGAGGACATGGGAAAAATTCATAGCAGGTGAAAAAGTGTAACATAAGACTCATCATACTATAGAACTCGGAGTCGTTTAAGATTTCAACAGCGGATCTTTGCAAATAAGCCAAAAATGGCCGCCGCATGCTTACCAGCTTTTACCTCGACCTGTTCAGCCGTCGCAGTCGCCACATGAACAACCACTCTCCGCACTGGAGACATCTACATGAACAAATTCAAGCGCGTATAGGGAGAACGCGGAGGTTTACTGGGTGTATTCGGACTCGTCGCATCATAGGGGCGACTTGGGTCGCACCTTCACGAGTGGGACTCGCGCAGGCCGCGTGCAGCACGGCCTAATGCCATGGCCTCCCCTGCACACCAGATTTCATCGCCTTTAGTCAATTATATGCGTACTGTCAGGTTTAAGGTGTAGGGACAGGTGCACGCACCGGCGCACCGGGCACCCGGCTTGATGCGCTGACAGCTGCATCTGCATATGTGGCAGGCTCTAAGGCCGCGACGCAACTAGCTAGCACCGGGCAACGCGCTCACGAACAGGATCGCCCACAAGTGGTTACTCGGCTAATTTGAGACCCAGGAGCACTCAAAAAAGCGACCGGCAGTGTTTGTACACGTTGCGTGTGCCAACTAGATAGGGGACGTTTGCAGTCTGCTAGCTTACAGATCGTGTACCAGATGGTTGCTCTCGTACCAAGTCCAGCGCCGTACTATTGGCGAATGAGACCATGCTAGCGTTCGTTGTCACCGGTTTTGACTGATTGGACAGTCTACTAGTTTGTTGCTTTGTCTCAGTACGCATCTAATAATCTAGCTGTCCCCTTGCTGTTGCCTCAACTTTTAGTCCACCAGCCCGGCTTTTGGCGCAAGCCCAGGCCTACCGCCATCATGCCGGGCTCTTTCCTATATTCATCAGCCTTTGTCGGTTAACTTATTGACTAGCCGCCGTAGTTTTAGCGAAAATGTTTTGGAAAGTCACTGGGTTTTCCCAGCCGTCTCCTGTAGAGGTGTGTCGCAATTATGAAGTTTTACGTCAGTTCCTGAGCCTCGTAAAGCGAAAGCTTTTTCGAATTGCTGGACTGCGACTGTGCGCAGCAAATCCTTGATAAGGAGGAGTTCACGCTTGAGGAGCTGCTGGAGGAGGATGACATTGTGCAGGAATGCAAGTCCCTAAATGGCCGTCTGGTTGCATTGTGAGTATGGGGAGGGCTGCAACTTGGAACTGTCGATCTCCCCCAACCCTCCCCCAAAAACTGTTCTTGCCCTCCCCGCAGTTTGCGCGAACGGAGCACTGTGGAACAACTCATACGGTAGGTTCAAATTGAGTACACTCTCCGGCTTACTTTGCACAGACTTCTCAAAGGCGGGCACTGGCACAGGTACATGGTCGAGCCGCCTGGGGAGCTTGACGACCCTAAGCGCACGTACAAGTAAGCGGATGTGTACTTAAAGTATCTTATTGAGCTACCCTAGACGCGCAAGGCTTTGCGGCACAGGTACCCTTTCACTTCCTGCGAGGTCTTCTGCTGCGAGGTGGAGGCAGTCTTCAACACCCTGCTGGAGGATGCGGACCTCATGCGCCTGCTCTTCTCTTTGCTCGATTCTGATCCGCCCCTGTCATGCAAGACAGCAGGCTACTTCGGGCGCGTGGTTTCGCACCTGTTGCTGCGAAAGACAAACGAGATGATGCAATACTTCCAGGTAGCCAAAGGTCTCCTGGGTGCCTAAATCCTGCATTAACTTAACATGTACATGATCAAAGCCAACCCGTTCTTCTTACGCTGTTCGTCCCGCAGGAGAACCCCCACTTCCTGGAGAAGCTTGTCAACCATGTCGACACAACCTCAGTCACAGAAATTGTTAAGCGCCTGGTTGGCGCCGACGAGCAGTCTAGCATCATGTTCATGCCGAGCTACGCGCAGTGGCTAGCGGACACGCCGCTGGTGAACCTGCTGCTCAACCGCCTGGGGTCCAGTCACTCTGTGGAGGTGCAGACCAACGCCGCGGACATCCTCTCGGCGATCGCACACACGCAGCCTTCCCCGCTGGCGGCAAAGCTCACACACGAGGAATGCATCGGTCAGCTGTTCCAGCACGCGCTGCAGCCGGGACGGCAGGTGCTGGTGGCAGCTCTGGATGTCTGCATCGCGTTGCTGGAGCCCAAGCGCAGCAACCCGGACCTCCTCACCGACGGCTCGCCGCTGCAGGAGTCGGTGCGGCGGGCCAAATCGGAGGCAGTAGCAGCCATCGTGAACCACCTGCCCAGCCTAGTGGCTCTGTTGCAACAGCAGGACGGCGCAGCAACGCTCGATACACCCTACGGGTTGTTGTCGCCGCCGCTGGGGCGTGCGAAGCTCAAGGTGGTTGAGCTGATGGCTGTCTTGCTCCGCAGCGGCGACGTGGTGGCAGAGCGCGGCCTCATAGCCAGCAACAGCGTCCCGGTGTGCCTGGAGCTCTTCCGCAGCTACCCCTTCAACAACCTCTTGCACCACAGCGTGACTTCGATGGTGGTGGCGGGCGTGGTGCGGCCGTCTGAAAGCCTCATCCCGTACCTCTTTGAGCATTGCAAGCTGCTGGACTGGCTTACATCGCTGCCCACGGAGGTGCGCCCGGCGCCGCGCCCCGGCTTCGAGGTGCTGGCGGCCAACAAGCCGATCTTGCGGGCGGGTTACCTCGGGCACGTGATTCAAATCGGTAGCACGCTCGAGGGCGTCGCCAGCGCGAGCGCAGGCATTATGGCGCAGGAGTCGGTGAACAAGGCGGCTGTGGAGGCGTACCTTGCGGCGCATGCAGGCTGGCAGCAGTGGCTGGCGAACGAGCTGCACCCGCGGCAGGATGTGGAGAACGTGTCCAAATGGCAGTGCGGGCGGCCAGCGGCGACGGACTTGGCTGGGATAGACAGCGATGGGGACGAGTACCAGGTGCGTACGGCAGCGTTGTTATCAGGATATCCGTACAGGTCTGCAATTGGCGATTGGGTGAGGGGATTCCTGAACAGGTTATCATATCGGTCATGAACCAGGTTTGGGACCCCGTTGTAGACTTGAGAGGCGTGGGCCCGTTTTGCGTATGCGTGTTGTAGATGCCCGCAATCGTTTGCAACCTAGTTTTGTCAACCTAGGCTGCCACTGAATGCGCTAGGATTAGCTTAAGGTCATCGCACTTTAGGGACCTGCCCGGTCCATAGTTTACGTGGCAGTCATTGCTTCATGTGGATAGTAGGTCGTATCATAGGAGGCATGGTTTGTGCAACCAAGGATTGCACAAACACAATTTTGTACATCGCATATCGTTTGCATTACGAACAACTGCTAAGCATGGCGGAAGTTGTCTGAGCATAGGACGATGCGCTCATAGGGAAAATGCCGTACAGTTGCGTAACACGAGGCCGTACCAACCTTCCTTTAGCCCAGAATACATTGGCGCATGTTTTCCTATGCATGTGCTCCTCTTGTTTCCGTAGTAAGACGCTGCGCTAGGTTGATGTTTTATGAAGGAACGTGGGCTAAATCCCACAGTTTTGGTATGTAAGAATGCGTTACGGCTTTACTCTTATATATGCTAAGGACGTAAGGAGGATGGAAGGCAGGCTTGGAAGCCACTCACGACAGCCTCCTTAGATCCTTTCGTAAGGGTTGCGCACCAACATTTGCTGCTTATTACCATCTTCACTATACACCTGCCGTACTCCTAAGCTTCCCGCCTCCCTATCCCCCGTCTCCCTATCCGTCACTGCCACAGAATGACATGGACTTGGGCGAGATCCAGGGCATGCAGCCAGCCTTGTACCACCGGTATAATGTCGTGGACGAGGGCGATGACGACGACGAGGATGACGACGATGACGCGGGCTATAAGGGCGCGCCCATGTTTGAGGCGGTGGGCGGCGGAGGCCTGGGGGGGGACGGCTCGGGTGACGGCGACGCGTCTAACGCAGACCTAACGGAAGCGCTTAACAGCATGAACTTGCGCGATCGCGACTTGGGGGACGCGGCACCGATGGAGGAGGCGGAGGCGTCGACGTCTCACGGCCAAGGGACACGACTAGGTGGGTAGGGTTTACGCGGGGTGGCAGTAATGCGGTAGCTACTTTCATGTGGAGCAGATTACCGTCATAGCCTGATGCTAACGGGTATGAACGCTTCACCCGGCAGCTGTTTGCTTCATATGGTTCATTGCAAATTTGCAATGCTTGCTGTTCAGGGAATTACTGTAGCGTGCATGCGTGCATATACGTTGTCTCCTTGCCTTGCTCTCAAGACCACAGCGTTACAAGACTTGCCCGGCGTGCCATGTTCTACATCATTCATACAACAGCTCCTGCTCCCATTACGAATATCAAACGTTTCCTCCCCCATCCGCCGCCACAGGTGACGGGCCAACCGGCCAGGACGTGCATATTGACGACGACGAGGTGCTCTTGGCGACCAGCGATGACGACGAGCCCGGCTTGCGAAGCGGCGGTGGCACCCCAGAGGCCGCCGAGAGCTCTGGCGGCGGCGGGGACGGGGACGGGGACAGCCAGCCTGCCAGCAGCACGGACATGGTGATGGGCGACTCGGACGCGGCAGCGGAGCTGGTAACTGGCGGCGCTGCTCCCCAGGCAGCAGCAGCTGGAGCTGACCCATTTGGTGCTGCTGACGAAAACGTCTGGAAACCGAGCTGGCCGACGGAGAGTGTCAGCACTTCATAACCGGTGGTGGTGGTCGGGTGCTGCTGCTGTGGCTGCTGCTTGTGCGTAGGTCGCCAGGGTGACGCAGTAGGACTGGTCTAGCGCTTGTGGTGGCGCGTAGCTCAGAGCGTTCAGTAGGGATACTGTTGGACATTAACACGTGACAAGTGCTTCTAGGAAAGGACAGGGCTGGATTGGGCTGCATGGGCGTTGCCGTACTCCTACTGTTGCTAAATTCGTACTTGAGCACGTTGACGTACACATGCTGGCCTCCAGCTGAACGTGCAAACACATGTGCCATCAACGCTGTGTAATTAAATAGAGGTTGCTACCGTATGTACGGTAGGACACCACTCTTCTGTGGGATTCGCCAGAGCGCTGCTGCGGCAAGCCACTGTACGCAGCTGTCACCGCATGGCCGGGTCCCGCGCTTGCTCCGCCTGGTATTTCGTGACAGCTGCGGCTAGCGTTGTGCGCATGTGACCGCAGACTTGCTGCAAGTCTTCACATGCAGCTTTAACAGCTTGCACAGCGGTGATCTTGCCTGCATTGAATGGGAGGGAGAGCGTGAGTTTCCATACCAAGCATAGCAACCGGGTTAGGGTGTGACCAGTATTGAAGATGGAACGATAGGTAGCAAAGAACCCACGTAGTTGCGGCGATTCCTCACAGTATGTGCAAGGCCGTGCTTACCTGTCGTCTGTACCCGCAGGTTCACTAACTCCTCCGATGGATGCGGCATGCTATAACCACAGAAAGCGACATGGGGGCTGCAAGGGTGAGGGGGCAATCAGGAACCATGTTAGGGGGCAAGCGTTGTTAGGCTGTTTTGGGACACCCAGTACTACACGGTGAGGAGTACTAACCCAACAAAACGTACTTTTTGTTCAGGAAGAAGCGAAGCGAGTTTGCCAAAGTGTGGTCCTCCTCCTCAATGCTAAAAGTTGCCGCAAAGAAGTCCGTGCCCTCGGATTCCATCCTTTATTACAGATGGAGGTTAACTGCCGGCGGCGAGGATACCGTGACTCACTTAACTGTCTAAGAAAAAAGTGAACCCCAAGCTAGGTGGAAATCGAGAGCAGGTTGCGCAATGAAAGTACTGCGGCACGCCCAATGTTGCTCACTTCTTCTTTGCTATTGCCACCGTTGCTTAAAGCTCAGCAAGGGCTGTACGTGTGTTCGGTGCTGTGCAAAATCGGATGTTACTGCCTCTCAAGCCATTGGCGATGGGGACTTGTGCACATCGTACCACCTGTCGTACATGCGCCGGCTCTCAAACTGACTCTCCAAGCCTTCCGCTCTCCCTCTTCGGTAAGAAAGCATCAAAATGGTGGCTTCCGGTCTGGCCGTGGGCCTCAACAAGGGGCATGTCGTCACCAAGCGGGAACAGGCTCTGCGCCCATCGCAGACCAAGGGGGTGAGTGCCTTAGGCTTCTTTAGACATTCGCTAATAACCATCCTATCAGAGGTAATCAGCTCAGTAATATTTTCAATCTTTTCGCTGTCCGCAGCGCCTTGGCAAGCGCGTGAAGTTCGTGCGCGAGGTGATTCGCGAGGTTGCTGGCCTGGCCCCCTATGAGAAGCGCATTATGGAGTTGCTGAAGGTTGGCAAGGATAAGCGCGCCCTGAAGGTGGCCAAGCGGAAGGTGAGGGGTGCGATGTTGGCGGCTGCCGTCTGCGGGGTTGTCGGCATCAAGTCTTTCATACTCCCTGTGCTAACGTATTCTCTGTTATATACTATATATTGAATATCTGTGTGACTCTCGTTCCTCCATCTCACCTTGCAGCTGGGCACCCACATTCGCGGCAAGCGGAAGCGGGAGGAGCTCGCTGGCCTGATGCGCAAGATGGCCAAGAAGTAAAGCTTGTTGGCTACATCTCTGAGGGGAGAACCATGTTGTAACGTGGTTGGCTGTGACTTGTTTCTGTCCGCTTTTAGCCCCGATCGCACTCCACTTCGGTGACCTGGAGCAGCAGCATAAGGGCGGCAGCATGAGGCAGCAGCATACTGGAGTGGACAGCAAGTCGGCGTTGCCATGTGCAGCTGGACCACCAGCACCAGGCCGTTAGCGGCACAGCTTGTGCAGGGGGGAAATATAGTCCGTACAGCAGCAAAGGGCGACCCGCTGGTCACCCTTGCCAGGTGGAGGACTAGGATGCTTCAGCAGCAGTCACTGTAGACTGCACAGGAGCTCCAGAGCGGGGTTTCGGCTGTGAATTGTCTCGAATGCCTACGTATCAAAACAGCCTGGGACACAAACCCCTACCTAGAGCCGCTACCGCAGCAGCAAAGCTAGGCACTGGCGATGCCCATGGCAGGGGAATATCCTACGTTGCCGGCACCAGCAGAGCATATTAAGCCGGGAAACGGGCCCTTGGGTCATCCTGTCGTTTGACAGCATTACACTCGCATTTCTCACCAGCGCTGACACTATAGCTTTATGGCACTATGTTGGCCTCGGGTGCAGCCTATGTCAGCCTGCTGCTAGGGGTATCCTAGTCTGCAACAAGCACTGTGTGAAAGAGCACTCATCAGGGCATGCTGGTCATGGATATTCAACCTGAATAGACACCAGCGAAACAACTGAAGGCTTTCTCTTAAGGTTGCTTAGGTAGGGGAGCTTAGGTGTGCCATAATATAACCCCCGAGCAACGCTTGAGGCCGTCGCGTTAAAGCAAGTTAGGGGCAGTTGGGGCAAGGGCTTGGACTGGGACAAAGGCAACGTACCATCGCATCGGATGCATGCAGTTACCCTTGACATCAGCACTGGCTTTTCGCCAATCTATGCGCAAGTTGCATACTGCTAGCGTGCGGATGGCAAACGGTTGTTTCGGATTTCATCGGGCCCAATGCGTTATATGATTACGCGTCAATGGCTGCCAACCTAACTATGTAGTGCTTGTGGCACTTGTTTGTTTTCTTATAGACGCAGCACAAGTCTTACTTATTTGGCGGCGGGTATCCTGCGTCAGCCTCAGCGAGCACTTTACGGTGTGCTCCTACCTACGCGTGTGCGCCAACCGTTGATAAGAACATTGTTAAGTAAGCCCTGATTTGAAGGGCTAGGACAGTGATAAGAACCCTTAACGCTCGCGGTGGCTCTGGAGTACCCATCATGCTGAGCGCCGGGACTTCAAAGGGTTGCTGCGTGCAGCGTAGCTGCAATGGCGCTAAGCTTGTAAGTGGTATGCTAGCTAAGGGGCCTAGGTTTACAGCGAGCGTGCGGTAGGCCTTACAGCAAGCAAATCGTGCGTTACAACGCTCACAGCTCACAACTGGACATGACCAGCCACCGTCCTTGTAAAACCAAATATACTGTAGCCTATACTACTATATTGGACTCCAGCGAAATTCGTCGGCGTTGAAGATTCTCGTTTCCCACACCGCTCCTCCATGCTCTTCCTCATCCCCTGTGGCCTTGACCCGCTGCTCGCAGGCCCCGCAGCTCAAGCCCGTTATCAGCCGCTTTGCAGCTCCTCTTCGCGGACCCAGCCCAGCTCACGCCGGTGAGGCGAGCGGCAGTCCCATCGTCAGCGGCCCCATCGCCGTGAACCCATCCATGTCCCCCGCGCTGGACCCCGTTGCCGCCGCCTCCGCGCCCGACCCAAAGTCCTCCAAGGCCGTTGACCGCAGCAAGGGCCTGTGGACCCGCTGCGACAAGTGCGGCACCATCCTCTACATCAAGCACCTCAAGGAGCACCACCACATCTGCTTCGGCTGCAACTACCACCTCAAGATGTCCTCCCAGGAGCGCATCAACCACCTGGTGGATGCCGGCACCTGGCGCCCGCTGGACGAGACGCTCTCCCCCGTTGACCCCCTGGACTTCACCGACCTGAAGCTCTACACCGACCGCATCAAGGAGGCGCAGGAGAAGACCGGCCTGCAGGATGCCGTACGCACCGGTACGGGTCTCCTCCACGGCATCCCGGTTGCGCTGGGCGTCATGGATTTCTCCTACATGGGCGGCTCCATGGGGTCCGTGGTGGGTGAGAAGCTCACGCGGTTGATCGAGTACGCCACGCAAGAGGGCATGCCGGTGATCATCGTGTGCACCAGCGGCGGCGCGCGCATGCAGGAGGGCATCTTCTCGCTCATGCAGATGGCCAAGATCAGCGCCGCGCTGCATGTGCACCAGAACTGCGCCAACCTGCTGTACATCGCCATCCTGACGTCGCCCACCACGGGAGGCGTTACGGCGTCGTTCGGCATGCTGGGTGACGTCATCATTGCGGAGCCGCAGGCCATCATTGGCTTCGCGGGTCGCCGTGTGATTGAGCAGACGCTGCAGGAGCAGCTGCCGGACGATTTCCAGGTGGGCGGCTGGGGGAAAATTATATAAAAGTGAAACAACGAATCCCAATCCCATCTGGGGGGGCGTTTGGGGCGGGCTTGGGGGGAGGGACGGGGTTTTCCCTCCAGAGTATTCACAGGATGAACCTCGGGCCCCCCCTTAATCGCTCCGAAACCTAAACCTGTCCCGCATGGCGCTCTTCTCGCCCTCCCTCATCCCCCCTACCTGCTCCTACCCCACTCCCGGTGCTGCGGTTCGTTAGTCGTCTCCTCTTTACCCCCGATGCTGCACCCCTCCTCCCCCCCTCCCCCTCCAGACCGCCGAGTACCTGCTGGAGCACGGCCTGCTGGACCTGGTTGTCCCCCGCTCCTTCCTCAAGGGCGCGCTGTACGAGATCATTGACTTTTACCGCGCGGCTCCCTTCAAGCGGCGCGGCAGCATCCCCTTTGGCGTGCAGCACGGCACCTTCCTGACCACGGAGGAGAAGGTGCGGCGGCGCTGGGCGCAGTGGAGCCGGTCGGGGCTGCCGGCGGGCGGCAGCAACGGCAGCAGCGGGCAGCTGGCGGTGGCGTCGGATGCGGGGGCGGTGTCGTACCGGGAGCTGGTCAGCAGCTTCAGGTGCGCTGGGGGGGGGGTCGGGGACGGGGGGGAATTTATATAAGTGGACGGGGGGGGAAGGGGAAGCGGGGAGTTGGGGGGTTGAGGTGGAAGCAGCCATGTGTGTGTGGGAGGGGAGGGAAGACGAAGAAGGTTCGCCATGCGGGGCGGCGGGCGGGGTGGGGAGGGAGGATGAGAGGTGTGCGCTGGGATGCATAACATGCATCGGAGTGCCCTGTGGGGTCACCATGCGGCCGCACAAGCAACCGCAACGAAGCAGCAGCAAGCTCAGCAAGGGACCGCTTTGCAGCCGCTGGCACTCCTTCACAACCCCCGGCCCCTCAATACCACCTTCATCCCGTAGATGCTGCCCCTCCACATTATCCCCATATCACCCACCTTTCTCCAACTCATTGCCTCCCCTCTCCCGCCCCCCTCCCCCTCCCTCCCTCCCCCCCCAGGACGCTTGTGGAGGGCGGCGGCAGCAACGGCTCCTCCTCCGCCCCGCTGGAGCTGCAGGAGCTGCTGGGCGACCCCGAGGCGCTGCCTGCCGCTCTGGAGCTGGCGGCGCAGAGCAAGCTGGAGTGGATGCAGCGCACGCAGCAGCTGCTGGCGGGGGGGCAGGCGGAGGAGGCGGCGCAGGGGCAGGGGCAGCAGTACGTGTTTCGCATGCAGTAGAGGGGAGGGGAGGAAGGAGGGGAAAATTGAGAAGAGGAGATACCATGGTTTGTAGCGGGAAGGGGAGGATGGTTAAAAAGGCGGGCAAGGGTGACTGGGTAAGGGTTTAGGCCTGGGTTGCTGGGGCTGCAATTGGCTTAAGGGGTGGCTTGAGGAGGGGTGAGGAGCTGGAGGCCGTGATTTGGGTAAAAGATGCGGCCGGGGTAGGCATACGATCAGGGATATGAAGGGGCAATCCGCTTGGCCCGTTGCTTGGCCGTGAAGGGCGCTGAAGAGAGCTCTGCAGGAATGTTTGTGAGCGGGGAGCAGGTGGCGTTTGCTTGGGTGGCTGGAAGCCTGGGTCGAGTGGCTGGTTGCTGCTGCTGATGTGCCGTGTTGGCAGCAGCAGGGCGAGGGAGGCGTTGCTGGGGCCAGGGCACCGAGGGGGAGATGCGAGAGGCGGTGCCGATGCTGGGAGGTGCTGTGACAAGCGCCCCGTGTACGGGTACGGCAATGATTCCCAATTTTGGCCTTTTCCGGTGCGGTTTTGCCTCTTCGCCCGGACAGGGCGAGGAGACGTACCCCTTGGCGAGCCTCTCATTCGTAAAAGAGCCAGCGTTCGGCTATATATGCGTGTGCGTATCAGAGAATGCGCGGGGGAAGGAGGTGCCCTTGCGTTGATTGGAATGGAGTCCTGAGGTTCCTCGGGAACCGCAAGTGTCCTTCCTGATATCCGCACTGTAAGCGGGGTTTCCGCAGGTTAGGTGGTGTACTACATGGTGTCAAACTAGGCCAGTTTGTTGCATGCTGGGTGATGGCTCTTCGACGTTTTTCAATTAACAAGGCAGGGGAAGGTTAAGAAGGGTGATACTTATTTGCAAACAGAGAGATGCTTGTGTAAGTCCTTGTACGGCTGTTCTGCGGCACATGGAAAGTGCAGTGCTCCATATACACGTGCTCATTGTGCAAACCGAAACCGTTCGGATCGCAGCAGCAGCAGCCGTCTCTGCTACCCTTGCATCGAAAAACTGCGCCTCCCCAAGGACGCAACACACCCCAATGTCTGTCTGTCCGCCGTTTCTCTTCGCCCCTCGCTCCACCCCAGCAAGCAGCCGCTACAGCGCAGCCACCGTACATCATTGTTTGTTCGTACGGCACCTGAATACGGCAGTCGTACTGCAGGAGGCGAGTTGTTGTTGTCCTAATCTTGTAATACGTTTACAGTTATAGCCCTGACCCTCTGACACGGTTACCGGTAACAGCTGTTGCTGCTGTAGCATCATACCTCCCCGGCTGTGGTGCCTCCTCACATGCCAGCACATGCTCTGCTGCACGGTAGTAACGTTTGTAGTGGGATGTGTACCCCCCCGCCCTGTGCAAATTGATTCGCATCGATCTACGTACCGGCATGCGTGCGTTACCTTTCCATCCGATGCATTGCACTGCATGTCCTGTCCTCTGTCCACGTTTTCTCGTTACAAGCAAGCCGGCTCAGGAGCTTAGCTCTCAATCTAACGGCTGTCCATATAGCAGGACCACCGGGAAAACGGTTCCAAGCAAGTCATCTCGGACTGGCTGCTGAAACCCTTGTGCATCGCAGTATAGCCCTTGATACGAGCCCCTTGGAACGACGAACACCAGTAAAGAGTCAATAGACGACACCCGCACCCACACAGGTCATAATGTCCGTCCACCTCTTCTCATCACAACCCCCGCAACATCAGCGACAAGGGCAGTTACACCAACCAGCGCGTGCGCAGCAGGTGTGCGTGTTTACGCGCTCTTGATGAACTGCACGCCCTTCTCGATGGAGGCCAGCAGCTCGGGCATCATGGCCTTCAGGCCCTCCTTCTCGTAGTCCGACAGCGAGCCCAGGTCGTACACCTTGTCAACACCTGGGAGGGAGGGTGGGGAGGGCGGGAGGAGAGGGAGCAAAGGAAAGATGAGGCAGGATGGTTAGGCGGGATGTCGGGACGGTTGTACAATCGTCTCCATGCCTCTGCTCAATGCAGAAGCGCACATTGGCCAACAGGAACAAGATCTCCCGTTTTCCCCCAAACGGAGAGTGGCGAGCAGCCACGCCACCGCCCCAGCCGTCCCCCCCACCTCCTTCCCCGGCCCCCCGGCACTGCCCCACTCACCCTCGGTGGAGAGCTTGACCTTGGAGGCGAAGAAGGGCGCGTCGGTGATGGTGCTCTCCACGTAGGTGCACTCCACCACGGGGGTGCCGTTCAGGCCGCGCAGGCACGAGTCGGCGAACAGAGCGGCGGCGTAGGCCATGGACAGAGTGGCGGAGCCCTGTGGCGGGTGCGGGCGATGGTGGAAGGGCGATTGGAATGGAGCTCAGATGGAAGCTAACGCAACAAACCCTAGTCCTGACGCCGATCACAAAGCCGTACATGACCTCAGCATGCTACCCGCTTCTGCTGCTGCCTCCAGCTCCTCCACCGTCCAGGTCCTTCCGTCCCAACCCTACCCCAACCCGCCTCCTCCTCCATGCCTCCCCGCTCCCGCTTGCCCACCTTGCCGGCCTTGGCCTGCACCACCTCGGTGCCGCCCTCCTGGGTGCGCTTGGTGAGCGCGTCCAGCACGTCAGCGGCCATGGACACCTTGGGGGTGGCCTGTGAGGGGGAGGGAGAGGGGGAGAGAAGAATATACCCAGTGAGGAGGATGGAGCGGGGATGTAAGAGGAGGTAGGTAGGTGGGGAGGGGAGCATTCATGGGGGGGGGGTCATTACAGCAGGCAAGGGGAGAAGGGAAGGGATGATTGGGAAGGGGCAAAGAGCCGGGGCTGTTGTTGTAATGCAAAGGTAAATGCTTTCCTACAGCTGCTTTCATGGCCTTATGGTTTATGCAAGCTAACGTGTTTTGCGATGTACTTGCATGCTCGTCGCCCCAATGCCCCCTTGCTTCCTATTGGAGCAACGGCTGCCCGCTTTTCCCTACATGCGCCCTTCCGTGCAATCCTGTCCGATCTCTCAGTCCGTCCCGCATGCAACCCTCCCTGCGGAGCCTTGCCACACGTTTATCTACCGTAGTATCTCCCATTTAACCCTCCCGGTGTAGCTTCGCTGCTGACCTGGGAGAACAGGGGCAGGATGGTCACACCGGCGTGGCCGCCCACCACGGGCACGTCCACGGAGGCAACGTCCAGGCCGTTCTTCTCGGCGTAGAAGGTCTTGGCGCGAACCACATCCAGGGTGGTCACACCCATCACCTTCCGCTTGTCGTACACACCCATCTTCTTCAGCTGCTCAGCAGCGATGGGAACCGTGGAGTTCACGGGGTTCGAGATGATGTTCAGGACGGCGCCGGGGCAGTGCTTGCCAACGCCCTCAACCAGGTCGCGGACGATGCCGGCGTTGATCTGCGATTAGGTCCCCGGATGTAGGCAACCAAGGGAAGTGCGTGATTAATAGGGTACAGCCAACCAGGCGGTATGACTTTTAGCCAGTAATCTTACCTTGAACAGATCATCGCGGGTCATGCCAGGCTTGCGGGGAACACCAGCGGGGATGATGACCAGGTCGCAGCCACGCAGAGCCTCAGCCAGGCCCTCCTTGTCGAAGCCCTGTTTGGAAGATACAAAGCTAATTAGATATTTTGAGTTTACGCATGGCGCTAGACCCACAAAGCCTGTCGCTTGGGAGCCTCCAACAACAATAAATCATCATACCTTAGCCTGCGCCTTGGTGTTGATGTGGCTCACGTCAGCGGCAACACCCGGGGTGCCAGCAATATCGTAAAGCGACAGCTCGGACACTTGGGCGTTCATCTGCGCGTGGTAGAGTCGTTTGGTACATGAACAATCGCCGAAAGTGCTTGCCTACGCCATTTCCAACACTGCGCACCTTCATGAGCATGGACAGAGGCTGGCCAATGCCACCAGCGGCACCCAGAATCGCAACCTTGCGGCCAGGGCCACCCGAGGCGGCAGCGGCGAAGCCACGAGACGCAGCCTGCGCCCACTTCAGCATGGCGGGACCGGTGGAGGCCATCTTGATGTGTCCAACTAACAACACAAGAACGCAAGAACTAAGCAAGTGGGACCGAGAAAGGCGTGGTGTCAGCTCTTGACCTCCCGTCTGTCCTGCACGACTTACGGCAACCCCATGACGACGAGCAGGACATTCCACTTACGCGGGCAGTATGTTGCGTATAGATAGCTTGTTATATATCTTCTTTTGCCGCGAAATGCGCTCCACCCATGTGCAGCCAGCACCTTGACGTTGATTACATGGGCCATGCTCCCACCGCACAACCAGGTTGCATGCTTGCTTCGATATCTACCAGGCCAGCATAACATGTCGCTGTTTTACAGTTGCCGGCGGCTTCTGGACGCAGTATGTGCGGGGTATTTTCACCTTCCAGCACCCATTCCCTCTCCCACCTAGGAAATATCCCACATTCCCACCCACCCCACCTGGCCTTCCTGACTGGGGGGCACAAACCGGACAAGAAGCTTGCGTATGCAAGCGATAGCCAGTCATCAGGCCATTGCCATTTGAAAGCCTCCTTCGAAGGCCCGATAGTTACACGCAGTCTCTTAGCCTAGCACACATGAACGGTGCGCTGGATAGGGAAATTGCTAGGGCGGGCTCGCAGGGTGAACGACTGAACGCAGACCAGGCAGGGTCCAATGGTACGCTTGCATGGCTTTGCCTCCGAGCAGTGCAGCAGCACCTGAACGTCGAGCAGCACCAGAAGTGGCCCGTCATGCCTTTTAAGGGCAGCTTTACAATTAGGTGGGCTAAGAGTACAAGCGTCGGCATGTGACTAGACATCATGTTGGCACATGCATTGCGCAGCGCCTACCCGGTGAGGTATGCCTGTAGGTACGCATCCTAAGTTTAGGCGAGCATGGACCACGCCGAAAACAGCATCAGTAATACGCGTATCTCGTACTTAACTGTGACCCCTGGTTCACGTCCACAAGCAAAGGCAACTCTTATATCATTTGGTTCGAATTGGGCCGAGTAGAACTGCTGTTGCTTGCCGTTACTTCGCATTCATCGCTCGGGCTGAACATGGAGCGCAGTCTCCGTTAGGTACTTCAATCTGATGAGTGGAGTGTTGCGCTGAGGCACCCCATCGAATAGATATAACGGCATAGATCACGCAACCTTACTTTCCTGAAAGATAGCGATAAACAGCTCGGGATCTGGTTGCTGTATTCCTCTGCAAGGCAAACATCGGGATACACCTATTCGTTAGATAGTTGCATATGCGAAATTAGTAGCGTTCGGTTTTTGAACAATGATCTTACAGAACAGTTGATGCGGTTGATCGCCTTCATGTTAGCCCTAGAGCTAGGGGCACGGCACTGGGCCGAGGCAGATCACTAGCACTGAATCCTAGAGCCGCGATTACATCTGTGGATACTATTAAGTAGTGCGGCTAGCGTAGCGTGGGACCGCTTCGTGGCTATCGGACGAAATGGCGGACACCATGGCGCAACTGAAGACCCAGGCCGGTGGGCAACTAGCCCTCTGATTCCTCACGAAGCACATATGTTTGACCTTCACGTCATAATTCATGCTGCACGCCTTGCCATGCTGTCCTACCATCGACCCCAACTGACATTTGTTCATCGCTCCTCAGCATCCAACCTTCCACGCCTCCCCCTAACCCGCCCCGGCTCAGCTACCCGCATGGCAGCACTGCTGCTGCCATCTACCCTGCACGTCTCTCGCGTCCTTTGGCTATAGCCGCGCAACAGCAGTCACCCCCCGCCTCTACCCAACTGCAACTCCTTCCCCCTCATCCCATCTCCCCATTATCCCATCCTTCATCTCCCTCATTATCTCCAAACACCCGAACCCCGAACCCAACCTCCCCTCCCCCCGCTCCCCCCCCAGTCGGCGAGTGGGAGGTGGTGGGCGACTGCTTCTTCTCCCGGGAGCTGCTGTACGACATGTGCTGGGGCGACTTCGACACCGCAGACAAGCGGTGGGTGGGTGGGGTACTGAAAGGAGCGGTGGGTGGAGCGGATGAGGTGATGCAGGTGTTGGGATTTGGCCATGCAGGGGGGAACATGGAAGCAGGAAGGGGCTACACGGGAGGCGTGTAGTGCGGTTAGGAAGGGGCTGCACCAGGCTTTCGCGGTGTGGGTTGGCGGAGCGTTAGGGTTGTTGGGAGCCCGGGAATCCGGGGGGGGGACCAAGCAGGGCCCAAGCTGGGAGGAAGGGAAGTTGCGGCAGTGGAGGGGCGAGGGAGGCGGGAGAGAGGTAGGGAAGGCGGGGGACGCGGGGGAGGCGGGCAGGGGTGCTTCCTCGTGCCCACCTCGACCATACATCCCTCTTCCCCCTCCCTCCCCTCCCCCTCCCCATCCCCCACCCAGCCTGGCCTGCGCTCCCTTCGGCGGCCCCATCGCCGCCATCCGCGACGAGCGCCGCATCGTGCTGGTGGGCCCCCCCTCACATGCACCCGCCGCAGCTGCGACCCACGGGTCGGCCGCCTCCGCCGCCCTCCTCACGGGTGACGCCGGGGGCCTGAAACCCGTGCTGCGCACGTTCAGCGCCTCGGGGGTGTCTCTGGGTGCGGCGGTGTGGGAGGGCGGCCGGCTGGCGGGGTGGGGGTGGAGCGAGGAGCAGCAGCTGGTGGTGGTGGAGGCGAATGGGAAGGTGAGGGGGGGGGTTTGAGGGAGAGGAAGGGTGGGTTAGGTTGCTGGGTCTGCTGGTGTGAGTGCTTGTCCGTTACTGTCCCATGGGTCACATGGGGCCCTTTCCATGTGCTCCTCCCACCACCCCAACCCGCACCCCAATCCCCACCCCCAGGTGACTATCTTCTCCCCGCAAGCCGAGGTGGTGCGGGAGTTCAGTTTCGGGGCGGCGGTGGAGCGGGAGGGGGTGGCGGGCGTGCGGGTGTATGGCAGCGGAGTGCTGGTGATCACCGAGCCCCCGGTGCAGCAGGGGCAGGGCCAGGCGGACAAGCAGCAGGGGCAGCCGCCGTCCGCAGCTACACAGGCGCCCCATCAGAAGGGGACTCCAGCACCCGGCGGTGGCAGCACTAGCAGCAGCAGCACCACCACCACCACCTCTGTCGCCCCAGGCAGCATCTGGGCGGTCACCAACCTGCACGACCCCAAACCCACACGCCTCGCCATGCCACCCGCCGCAGCCATCATGCTCGCCACCTCCTCCCCCTCCTCCTCCGCCTCCGCCTCCACCTCCCCCACCTCCCCCCGCCCCGGCCTGCCCTCCTGCCTCGCTGTCATCGAGCCCCGCCACTCGCTTTCCCGCGGTCTGGAGGTGCTGGCGGTGTGGGGAGACACATTGTGGCAGCTGGACGACTGCAGCGCCACAGACCACCACCCGCCCGCACTGAGGGGGGCAGGAGCAGGAGGGAGAGGAGGGGGAGGGAAAGGCGCAGCAGCAGCAGCAGCAGCAGCAGCAGGAGGAGGAGGGGGTGCGGTGCATGTGGAGGTGTCCCCGGATGGGGCGTTTGTGGCGCTGTTCACGGCGGGGGGGCGGCTGGTGGTGCTGTCGGCGGGTGAGAGGGGGAGGGGAAAATTATATAAGTGAAAGAACGAGAGGGGGAGGGGGGGAGGAGGGGGTGAGAAATGGGAAGGAGGGAGATGAGGGGAGGGGAGATGGGGTGGACAGGGAGGGCGGTGTGGGGGAGGGAGGGGAGATGGGGTGGACAGGGAGGGCAGGGTGGGGGAGGGAGGGCAACTGGTGCCGTCTGACTGCTGTGGGATGAGTCCAGCTTGTGAGAGCACGCCTGACCTTGTCGCGGTATCACCTCTCCCCTTATGCTGCTCCGCTACTCACTCCCCACGTTGCCACGCTACTCACGCCGCCGCCTGAACAGTTCGCCCACCATCCCGCCCCACCCCTCGGCTTCGCTCCTTGGAACACCATTCCTTCACTTTCCATTTATCTTCACCCCTCGCCCCCCCTCGCCCCACCCACTCCGCAGACTTGACCAAGCAGCTCACGGAGTTCGAGACCCGTGGGTCGGAGGCGCCCCCCTCCGGCCTCCACTGGGTTGGATCCGACGCCGTACTGCTGACGTGGCCCGACGGCACCGCCGTACTCGTGGGGCCGTACGGTGACAGCGCAGAGTGGCAGCTGGGGGAGGACATCACCGCGGTGAGGGAGGGGGTGGGGGGGAGGGTGGCGGTGTGTTTTTGTATGGGGGTTGAGGAGGGAGGGTGGCGTTCACGTGTCTTACCCCCCCCCCGCTAGTAGCGCTTCCTGCCCTGGTTCCCGCTCCTCGGCCGGCTTCACATGGTGCAGCACATGGTGGAGCCTTCCCACATAACTCGTTTCTTTTTCTCTTTACCCCCAACTGGCAAGCAAGCAATTTCAAGCAATTTCCGGTAACCTACGGTCAGGGTCAGTGTTTCCGCGGCTCAGTTTATTTCCTCCCCAACTGGCCTCACAACCCCCCCAGGTGATCCCCGAGGTGGACGGCTGCCGGCTGCTGCTGGGGCGGGGGCGACATGAGCTGTGGAGGAAGGTGCCGGAGCCGTGTGTGCAGGTGGGCGGGGGGGGCGGAGTGGTGGAGGGGGGAGCGGGGACGAAGGGGGGGCGCATGGTTTGAGTGGCGTTCCCCAGAGGATGGAGCATGTCGCTGGGCTCTTCCCCTGCGCCCTTCCTCTTCCCCTGTTTCAGCCACCTCAACCACCCTCCCTCCCCCCCTCCCTCCCCCCCCTCCCTCCCCCTCCCTCCCCTTTCTCCCCTCCCCCCAGGTCTTCCGCCCCGGCTCCACCGCCCCCCCCGCTCAGCTCTGGGATGCGCGGTCCCTGTACGACACCTGCTCCCCCCGCTGCGAGGTGCTGCTGCGGGGGCTGGTGGCGGGGGGGAGGGGGGAGGCGGGGGGAGGAGAGGGGGCAGGAGGGGAGGCAGCGGGGGGCGGCAGCCTGCTTCCTGCGGCGGTGGCGGGCTGTGTGGCGGCGGCGGGTGCGGACCTGAACCCGCTGCGGCAGAGGGCGCTGCTGAGGGCGGCGGCGTACGGCAGGCCCTTCTGCCCGCCCTCCTTTCCTAAACAGGTGTGTGTTTGGGTGCGTGTGTTAAGATAACTGGCCGCGAGGTCCCTTGATCGCCCCGCCGCTGACATTTACAAGGCCAGCCCTCCCACCCAACTCCCACCCAACTCCCAACCCCCCCTCCCCCCCCTCCCCCCCTCCCGCAGCTCATGTACGGGGTTGCATGTCGGCTGCGGGTGCTGGCGGCTGTGCGCGACCCGCGGGTCGGTCTGCCGCTCACCATGGCCCAACTGGAGGTGCTGGGGCTGCCCGTGCTGGTGGCGAGGTGGGGGTTGGGGAAGGGGGGGAGTGGTAGTGGGAGTGAAGCACTGGAGGGGAAGAGGGAGGGGGGATCGCTGCTTGGTCTGCCCCTCGCATGCTCCCAACCCGCACCCGCCCCTCCCGCCCCTCCTCCCCCTGCTCCCTCTCCCGCCCCTCCCGCCCCCCCCCCCCTTCCCGCCCCTCCCGCCCCCCCCCTCCCCCCCCCAGGCTCATCTCCTACAGGCAGTGGCTCCTAGCCTACCGCATAGCCGGGGTGCTCCGGAACATACCCGGGGGGGGCACTGCGGGACCCGGGGCAGGGGGGGCAGGGGGGGCAGCAGGCCTCGGACTGCCCGCTACGCCCGGATCTACCACCCCTACCACCACCACCACCACCACCTCCGCCTCCGCCCCCCCGCTGCTGGGTCAGGAGGCGGTGCTGCTGCAGTGGGCGTGTGCCAAGATCTCCTCCGCCTCTATCGCAGGGGGCGGGGCTGCTGCTGCCGCCCCCCGACTGGACGACGGCTCGCTGAAGGACGCTATTGTGTCCCGGCTGAAGGGCTGTCCGGGGGTGCGGTTCGCACCGCTGGCGGCACATGCGCTGGTAGGAGGGAGAGGGGGGTAGGGGGGTAGAGGTTTGTTTCTTTGGGATTGGGGTTGAGGTAGGACGAGGGAGGCCGCTGTGGTGGGCCGCTCAGCTCCTGCAAGGCACCCTCGAGCACCGCTACCCTCCGCTGCCTTTCACCACCTCCTCTCCTCCTCCTTGTCTTCCTTGGACGCCTATCCCCCCCCGGTGGTACTTCCGTAATCCCCCCTCTCCTCATCTCTCTTCAGTCGGTGGGTCGGCGCCGTCTGGCTCTGCGGCTGCTTGAGGAGGAGCGCTCCGCTGCCGCCCAGGTGCCGCTGCTGCTGGGGCTGGCGCTGGGAGGAGGAGGAGGGGGAGGCAGGGCGGGGCAGCGGGGGGGAAACAGAGGTGAGGAGGGGGGAGAGGAGGAAGAGGGGTGAGGAGTGGGGGTGAGGAGTGGGTGTGGAAAGGATGGCAGACGCTGCGTGGTTCAGCTGTTGGCAGGGGAACCACTGTGCGGCAGTGGACGGGCGGCCCCAAGCGGCTCATCCCCCAACCCAGTCTTATTGTTTACCCCCCGCTCCCCTTCCCCCCTTCCCCTCTCCCTGCCCACCCAGCCCCCGAGGGTGGTGTTGGCGAGGAGGAGGAGGGTTGTGAGGAGGTGATGCAGCGGGCGGTGCGGAAGGCGGTGGAGAGCGGGGACACGGACCTGGTAGGGTGGGGGGTGGGGAGAGGCGTGTGTATGTGTATAGGAATGGAAGGGAGGGAGGGAGGGGGTGTATGGGCTTGCAGGGGCGCGCACGACAGCAGGTGGGTCAGCATCCTGCCTCCACCTCACAATCACCTCTTCACCCTTCCTTCTCCCCCCTCACCCCATCCTATGCCCCCCCCCTACATTGGGTATTTCCTTTCCCCCTCCCCTCTTCCCCCCCACCAGGTCTACCTTGTCCTCTTCTCGCTCTACCGCAGCCGCCCGCTGCCTGAGTTCTGGTCGCTGGTGGCGGGCAGGGCACTGGCGCGGAACCTGTTGGTCAAGTACTGCAGGGACAAGGTGGGGGGGACTGAGGGGGAGGGGGGGAGGGCGGGGGAAGGGAGGGGATTCATGGGAACTAGGGGTACTGTGGGGGGAGGCTGTGCGGGGGGCGACTGGTTGGGCGGAGGCCGAACATGGAAGAACCCCTCGCCCCTTACCACCCCACCCCTCACCACCTCACCTCATCCTCCCCACCACCTCACCTCCTCACCACCCTCACTTCCTCCTGACCACCTTACCCATCACGCCCCGCAGGAGCCGGAGCTGCTTGAAACCATCCTCACCGCTGCCGCAGCTGCCGGCCCCCCACCCCCCTCCACCTCCTCCTCCTCGTCCTCCTCTGCCGCCTCCACCGCCGCTGCCGCTGCCGCCGCCGCCTTCCCTCCCGCCACCGCTGCTGCTGAGCTGGCCTCGCTGCAGCTGAGGGCGGCACTGCAGGCGGAGGTGCGGGAGCGGGGAGCAGCAGCAGCAGCGGGGGGAGGAGGGGGAGGGGGAGCAGGAGGAGGCGGCCAGGAGAGGCTGCTGCCGGTGTTGGGGGATGTGGCGCAGAAGTATGCGCAGGTGAGGTGGAGGGAGGGGGGTTGAGGTGGGAGGGGTGGAGGGGGGATGAAAGGATGGGAGGGGCCCCTCGTCGTGTTCTGTGGGTCGGAATGGTGGGAGGGATGGGATGTCCGTCCTTCTCTGCTGCTGTTTCCGCTGCTGCTGCTGCTGCTGCTGCTCTTGTCCGCACCGCATCCTGCTCTCCCCCCGCTACTACAAGTACCCCCCCCCCGCTACTGCTAGTACCCGCAGCTGCCCGCCTGCCGCCGTGAGTGACCCCCTACACCACCTCCCCTGTCCGGACTTCCCCCTCCCCTGCCTTCCCTCCCCCACCTTGCCCCCCTGCCCCCCAACCCCCACCCCAACGCCTCCAACCCCCCTCCCCCTCCCCACCTCTCCCCCCCAAGTCCCGCGACCACACCTTCCAGTCCAAGGCGGTGGCGGAGATGGCGGCGTTGCGCCGGGAGCAGGTGCGGGGAAGAGGACGGGGGGGGGGGAGGGTGTGAGCGGATGGGGACAGGGGGGCGGGCCAGGTGGGAGCAGGTAAAGGCAGGGGGGAGGGTGTGAGGAGAGGAGTGGCCTGGGTTACCTTCACCTAGATGGCCTGCCCGTGATCCTCCGCCACCGCTGCTTGCTGCCTTCATGTTGCACTGAAACCCCCGGTACTTGTCTCCTCCCTCCTCCCCCCCTTCCTCGCTCCCCCCTCCTCGCCCCCCCTCCCCCCCCCCTCCCCCCCATGCAGGCCCGCCTAGAGCGCGAGACGGGTCAGCGCCTGTTCCTGGGTCTGCCCCTGGCTGACACCCTGCGTGCCGCCATCCGACTGGGGCACCACCGGGCGGCGGCGGCGCTGAAGAAGCAGTTCGGGGTGGCGGACAGGCGGTTCGCGTGGATAAAGGTGGGGGGGGGAGGGGAATAAAAGACCATAGCGAACCACATGTTAGGGATGGGGGGGGTAGGGGGTTGCGGATGGGAAGGGCGGGGGGGGGGTCTGATGGGGCTAGGTGGTGTGCTAGTGGTGTGGTAGGAAGGGAGGGATGTGTGTCAGGATCAAGACTGGTCCCCGTAACAATGATGACCGCTGCTGCATGTCTGTACGGCAGGGGTGGTTGGCGTGTGGGGTGGACGTATGTGCCTCCACCCCTTGCACATTGAGGAAACCCAGCTGCCCGCCATTAACCCCCGCCACTAACGCTCTCCCCCCCCACCTCCCCCTCCCCCTTCAGATCCGCACGCTCGCTGAGGCCCGGGACTGGGCGGCGCTGGAGGTGAGCTGCAGCACCGGAAGGGGGGGGGAGGAGGAAGGAGAGGAGTATACTGGGGCTCTCGGGGGTAGCGCCCCCCCATCTTGGTTGGCTCCTGAAGGACCCCTGTCCCGCTCACCCACTACCCAACACCGCTCCTCACCCTACCTCCCTCCCCATCCCCCTCACCATCCCCCCCAATCAGGCCTACGCATCCGAGCTGCGTCGCAGTCCCGCAGGCTGGGAGCCGTTTGTGGAGGTGGGGGGGTGTTGGTGGGGTGGGGGTGGGGGTTACCTTGGAGCGGCTGTTGTAGTTGCCGCTGCAGCGCATGGCTGTGTCGTACATCGTCAGTGTGGTACCGCGCCTCAGCTGTACGGTACCCTCCCATCGCTCCCTGTCGCACCCTTTGCCTTGCCTTGCCCTGCCTGGCGCCCACCCTGCCCTCCCTCCGCCCCCTCCTCCCCTCCCCCCCTCCCCCCCTACCCCCCCCTCAGGCCGCCAGGAAGTGGGGTGCACCGCCCGAGTACCTGGCCAAGTGAGGGAGAGGGAGGGGAGGGAGGGGGGAGAGGGAGGGAGTGAAAAGAGGAAACTGTCGGAGGGAGGAGGGAGGGAGTGAAAGAGGAAACTGTCGAGCTGAGGGAGGGAGGAGGGAGGGGGCATGCTGGGGGAGGCAGTGGGGATGTGGGTGGAACCAGCCCATAGGAGGGGGAGGAGGGGTGCTGGTTGGGCGGTTGGTTTCATGCGTAGGGCGCTCCTCCGCTTGAGGCTGGGGGGCTGTGACCGCTCCTCCGCTCCTCCTTCGCTCACACATCTCCCAAGCCCCCTGCTCCCCCTCCCCACCTCTAAACCCCTTGCCCCTCCCCCTGCTCCCCCTCCGCTCTTCCGTCTCTCACCCATATCTCCCCTCCCCTCCCCCCCCTGCCCCCCCTGGCAGGCTCATCTCCCGGCTGCCCGACAGTCCCTCCAAGGCGGAGCAGCTGGAGGGGCTGGGGCTGGCGAGGGAGGCGGCGGAGGTGGCGGCAAGGATCAAGGTAGGGGGGGGCAGGGAGATGCGGAGGGGGGAGGTCAGGGAGGGCTCGTAGGAGAGCCAGGGACGCTGTCTCCACTCCTAACCCTGCAAGCACTACCCCAACCACTCGCCGCTCGCCTCCCCCCTCCTGATATGCAACCTCCAACCTCTGACAAAAACCTCCAGGACTCGGACCTGTTCGGCCGCATCCAGAGTGCGGTAGCGGTGGGCAGTCCCGCGGGTCAGGCCATCGCGCAGCTGAGGGACAAGTTCCAGTCCACATTTAGGTAGTGAGGGGGAGGAGGAGGAGGTGGGGGGGAGGTGGTGGTGGAACGAGGCGAGCTGTTTTGCTGTTAAGGGTTGTGATGATGAGTTGCATTGGGATGGTGTGTTGATGCGCGTTGCGGTGGTGGTGAGCTGTGTGTCTCGCGTGGCCTTTGTTGTGTGAAGTGCAAAACCCCAGGTGAGGCGCACCTGGGTGGTTTTGGACCCGTGGAGTGGGGGGGGGCCCTAGCAGGTGTGTACGTTGGAGAGGTGTGTCCACGGGGCAGCTAGCAGGGCTGTGAGCGGCGCAGGTGGGTGCATGCTGTAAGCCCTGGCGCGGTGAGGGGGAGGGTGGCGAAGGGGTGAGTGTGCTTGAGCACTCAATACCGGTATGTGTTTCAATTGCGTAGAGAGTTGCATGGCTGCTGCCTGTCTGTCTGGGGGGGAGGGGCAATACGCACCTTTCCTTGCAGCCTGCTTTGTGAACACTGTGAGAGGAGGGCTGGGTAGCCTCCTGTGGACGGGTGGGGGGCAGCAGCAGAAGCGTGTCGTACCGGTGCACGCACAAGGAGCGGTTCAGTGCTAGCAGTGCCAGCAGGGCCGGCTGGGAAAGCCGGCGTACGTACTTTAGCTCTTTGTCGTTGTCAGGTCGTCAGCAGCATCCAACTGTGCTGTGAAGTGCAGCAGTCGTGTTTCTTTGTGCTGTCCATTACAGGAAAAGCAAGTTTGGTAGGTCCCCTTCGCATGCATGACGCGTAATCAAGTCGCAATGATGGGGGGTTCGCAGCTACCCACACTCGCAGACTTTACAGCCAGCAGAGGGGAGTATTCAATACGCGTGTGCAAAACACGCGCACACGCACACACAATGCTACCGATGCGCCCGATTCCAGGGCGTCATTCCAAAGCCGTCGCTAACCAGCCGTATATACTGCACATGGTGTGTCCCCGCAACATCCCCGTACAGCCCATGTCGTACCATCAGCCGTATGCAATCAGTGATGACCCTCACGTGGAACGACGACGCCGACCCATGGGTCACCAGCAACCCCAATACCCCTCTCCCAACAACAACAAGGCTCCGCTACATACTCCTTTACTCCGCCCTTGTACAGGGCCGCACGTGATGCACCAACTGAGAACGAAGGCATAACACACACCCTCGCTCCTCCTCCTCCACCGCCACCGCTATACCGCTACCCACCCGCCACCGCTACCGCCTAACAAAGATACGCACTGCTTGTCAGCTGCTAACCTTCCTACGTCACCTGATCTGCGCACCTCCTCCTCCAGCCCCCCCCCTCTCCCGCATTCACTTGGGCGGCGTGTTGACCTCCCCTCGGTCGGAGGAGCTGCGGGGCTGCCCCCGGGCCGCATCGTCGCCCGCCCCGGGGAAGTTGGCCTTGATCTCGTCCATAACCTGGGGGGAATGGGTGAGGGGGGGAGTTGTGGAGAAAGGGTAGGGGAGTGGTTCCGGGGGGGAGCTGGGCGGAGGAGGGTGCAGGTAGGTGGAGGTGTACGGGGAATGAAGGGGGGTTTGGGCCGCAAAGACAGCATTATTAATGCGGCGAGTTGGGATGGTCATCCCATGCTTGTGGAGCTTGTGAAGGGGGAACCGAACTGCCCATCGCCACCTCCCCCTGCATCCCCCTCCCCCCTCCCAACCCTGCCGTTGCTATCCCCATTGCTTTGCCCTAACCTGTGGCTTCCTATGGTGTGTATGGCCTTCCTCCCCCGGTCCCCCCCCCACCTGCGGCTGTCCCGGGTTGTTGACCCCGTGCTTCAGTGTCTCCCAGGCGGCAGCGGCGGAGCCCTTCACGCGGGCGGACAGCCGCTCCATGGGGTCACTAGGAAGGGGGGGAGAAAGGGATTAATAGGGAAACATAATCTGCATTAGGCTGGATAGTTGGGTTAGCACGGAGGGGAGGGGGAAGGGGGAGTGGGTGAAGGAAGGATGGGACGGATAGGATGAGTGCGAGGTGTGCGAGGACGGAAGAGTCAAGAGGGAAAAGGGAAGAGGGAAAAGGGTAACGAGTGTAGGGTTTGCAACCTCCCCAAACCCCCTCCCCGCCCCCCCTCCTCTCACGTGCTGTCCCGGGGTCCCCCCTTGGGCCTCAGGTGGTCCAGCTGCTCAGCGGTGGGGCCGGCGGGGCTGCGGCGGTCCATGGTGACCCGTGGGTCGCTGCCGCCGCACTCGCCCTCACCCGCCTGCCGGGGCACACCAGCGCCGCTCATCTCGTGCTCGATGCTCTGCTTGTGCCTGGGAGGTGGGGAGAAGGGGTTGGAGGGGGTGGAGGGGCGAAAATACATGGAAAAGTGAAGGGGAGGAGAGGTGGAAGGGAGGAGAGGCGGGCCGGTTAGAATGGGACGGGTGGGGCGGGGTGGTGGTGTCGAAAATGAGAATGTACGCAAGGTACGGCAAGCAGGGAGTGTGTAATGCGACATCAAGACACCACCGTACGACAAGCCGTATGTGACACGCAGTACCACACGCAAACGAAATCCGAACCCGCACCCGCCTGCTATCGCTCGTTCCCCTCCTCCCTTCCCCTCTCCCCCCGCCCCCTCCCCCCAAAACCCAAACCCCCCCAAACCCACCAAACGAATCCCCGTGGCGCCCCCGGGTCGGGTCCGGTGGACCCCACCTGGCGCCCCGCCTCGTCCGTCTCCTTGACCACGTAGTCGCCCCGGGGGAGGGGCTCGTCGGGGTAGGGGCGGGCGGGGGGGACGTCCTGGGGGGGCGGGGGAGGCGGGGTTAAGACGGGGGGTGAATGAGCTGCAGAAGATGTTGTGAGAATGCAAAAGCAGGAAGAGGAGGAGCTGTATTGTTCAAGTTATCTCATAACGAGCAAAAAGAAATGTGAGGGGAATGAGCGTCGGCGGAATGGGCGAGGAACAGGCGTAACGATGGACTGACTGACCCATGGGTCACACGAGGTTCGCGCGGTCCAGACACACACTCACCGATCTGCCGGAGGTGCTCTTGTCGACACCGGAAGACGAACCGCCGCCAAAGATACCACGAATGATGGTGACAGCAGTGCTGCTGCTGCTGTTAGTGCCGGCTGCGGCTGCTGCGGCTGTGACGGCGGCTGGTGCCGGCCATGCGAGGGGCGGGGTGCCGCGCGGAATGAGCAGCAGCAGGCGGCTGGCGCAGTTCATCCTTGCTTGCTTTGGAGGACTGCTACGGAAGTCTTCTTTCCTTTGAAGTTCGAACTACGCTTGCTAAGCCTAGAATGGCTATCAGGAAATCCCAAAACGCGCGGCACGGGCCACGGAGCAGAAATGTTCCGCAAGATGCCGTTTGTGTATTCCTAGCTGAATCTGAACAATAACAGGACAGCGTTGATTTGTGTATGTTGTTGTCGCTAAGCTTACGAGCTGGTCTTCAATTACTTTGGTGCACATCCACTTACCGCCCAGAGCTGTGTCGTTCTACCGGTATTCAATGACTCATCGCCGCATCGTGTGCATGCCAGGCAGCCCGCGCTGCCGCAGAGGTGCCCCCAGGACTCCAACTGGCAACAATACAAACCACATGTCCCTTTTGTGAAGGCCTGAATGAAGGGCCGTTACAGCGATCCCGAACCTGAAGGTTGTGGTGCTTCTGCCGCGTGACCTCCCATTTCCTTTCTCGCAAGCAAGCAAAGCGCCCAAGCAAAATACAAAAGGGCTGCTCTTCCCATTTTGCTGTCGCTGATATAGCTGTCACAAGGTTTAGCGCCGCGCCCGTTATGCGCGCCCTGCATCTGCCTGCCCGCGTCTAGGCAACGCCGCTGCTTTGAAGGAGATCTGGACACCCAAACATACATACAACTGCCAACACGCATGGAAGGCAAAGCTGATAGGCCGTCACGCACAACAAATTGCATAAAGCTGACAAAATGTCACAAAACCGGCTGGACCCAGGTAGCAAGCACAACGCCTTCCTAGCAGCTAAGGCAGCATAGCCCGCCGAGTGTCCAGGTTACCGGGTAAATCCATCAGACGTCTTGCCTTGCAAGTTCTGTTGCGGCTTGAATTCCCAATTATATAATAATCCGCTCCGTCCGCTTCTAACCTAAGCATAAATCATCAGAACCGGTAGCTGCGCAGCCCGCGCTCGACTAGTCCCGCTTCCTGTCCTGCTATCCTCTCCTCCCATCCCAACACGCCGCCGCTGCCCTTTCTCCTCTTGCATGTCATCTTGCCCCGTCCCGCCGCACCGTACGTAAACCCCTCTTCAACCACCTCCCCCTCCTCCGCCTCCATCCCATTGTCCTCCTGTTCCTAACTTCACCCCCACCTCTCAGCCCCTCTACACTACCTCACCCTCACCCTCACCCTCTCCACCATCCACCCCCTCCAACGCCCTCAAGGCCGCCCCTCTGCTGCACCCTCCTGCGCCGCCTCCTCCGCTGCTGCTGCCTCCCCGCCCTCTCCCCCCTCCTCCGCGCCCTCCCCCTCCCCCTCCCCCTCTCCCTCCCCTTCACCCTCCTCCTGCACCTCCACGGATACCGACCCGGCGGTGTTGTACGAATTGATCAGCTCGAAGATCTCCTGCGCGGGGGTGCATGCAGGGGAGCGGGAGGGAGGGTGAGGGTGCATGCAGGGGAGCGGGAGGGAGGGTGAGGGTGCATGGTGGGGGTGGTATGCATGCGGGTAGGGTTGTTGAGGCAGGGAGGAAGCACATGCATGCATGCATGCAGGGGGCGCATGCATGCAGGGGGAAGTGAGGGCACAGCGCGGTAAGCAAGCGCATGGTTTGAGGCGCCCCCGTGCTTCACACACAGGTGAGACGGGGGTGCTGCCTCCCTGGATGGAATACACTGTGCGGGGTGCGAGGGGAAAGCGACCTGCAGCTTGGCCCCGCTCCCAGCGACCCCTGCTACCTACCCTTTTCCCACCGGCGGGTTGGTTTGGCTATGGACGACACGACAGGACCTACAGCTGGCTTTTGCGTCAACTCCAGTTTTCTAATAACAACCCCCCCCCCACCTGTTGTTCCCGGTCGAGTGCCTCATCCACCGGGGTGCGACCCGCCCTGATGGGGAGGGAGTTGGGGGGAGGTTGTGTGGAGGAGGGGCTGGGTTGTGTGGTCTCCTATTACGGTAAGCACGGCGGGCACAGGAAGCCCACCCACCCCACCCCACACCAACCACAACCCCCCCTGCCCCCCTCACTGGTTGAGCACGGCGGCACTTGCGCCCTTGTCCATCAGCAACCGCACAGCCTGGGGGGGGAGGGGGAGGGGGGCAAAAGAGGGGGGGAGAGAGGAGCAGGTGGGGGTTGCGAATGTGACACGGGCACGGCTCACCGTTCGCTGGCCTCTGCCTTGCTTCATCCAACCTGCCTAACGCCTTTCCCGCTCCTCCTCCCGCCTCCCTGCCCTTCCTTGTGCGGCCCGGGCGCCGCCTTCCCTCCTCATGTTTGACTCCTCCCCTCGCCCCGCCCTTTACACATTACCCCCAACCCCACCCCAAACCCCTGCCCCCCCTCCCCCCACCCTCCCCACCTCCTTGTGTCCATTCAGACAGGCCCAGTGCAGCGGCGTGTTACCCTGATCGTTCTGCACGTCAGTCAGCTGGGCAGAAGAGGGAACGGGGGAGAGGTGGCAGGGAGGGAGGCAGGGAGGCAAGGGATAGGATGTTACGTTAGGAAGAGGCGCGTTAACAGTATGTTTCTATCCGCCCAACCCCAGCCCCAACCCCCTTCCAGCTCCCCCTTGCTGAGCCTACGGTATATGCCATATGGTTTTAGTTAGTGTCTTCACCCCTCACACCCCAGCCGCTCCACCCCCCCTATCCCCCCCTCCCCGCTCACCGCCCCCGCCTGCAGCAGTCGGGCAATCACCTCCGCATGACCGTTGGCGCAGGCCATGTGCAGCGCTGCAGGGAGGGAGGGGAGGGGAGCGGAGGGAGGGAGGGAGGGGGGGAAATTATATAAGTGAAACAACGAGTCCCAAGGGGCGGAGGGGGTGAAGAGAGGACCTAGCCATGTAATCGGAGAAGGCAGGGTCTGAACCAGGTGGGACTGGGGGCATTGGTCAGGTAGGGATAAGGATTAGCGAAGGAGGAGGCAGCGAGGAAGGGGTGAACGCCCGAGGGGGACACAACATTTTTTGAGGTACGGATAGGGGAAGGAGGAGTGAGGGACAGGAGAACAGCAGCTAAATGGTGCCGTTCCGTCCAGCAGGAGGCCGTATGTGTGGGGTGCTTTGGCATTTAGCAGCTCCGGTCAAACGGTCCTCGTGTCACATCGCCGGTGCCATCCCGCATTGGAAAGCAAAGGCGGAGCAGAGGCCAGCATAGGCGGCCGGGGGCTGTTGTTGCGTACCTGTTCGCCCCATCGCATCCTTGCTATTGACTGGAACGTTTTGTCCGAGCGCAGCGTCAACGTCCTCCATGTCGCCATAGCGAGCGCCATCCACGAGGAACGCCACTAGCTCCGGGTCCACCTCGCTAGCTATACCTGGCATCTTAGAGGCGTGCGATGAAAGAGCTTAAGGTAACTAATTGTAAACCTTTTAATAAGCGCAAGTCGTCGTCCGCCGACAAGGGATTCGCGAGCTTACTGCGCACAATATACTGTAATTGCGTTTGGATATATAATGTTTCAATTTATTTGAGAGGGTGTGAGTTGACAAGCTCCGTTAAGCCGTATGCTTTATCTATGTATATTACATGTTGCATATGACCAATCCGTAGAAGGGCCCAGCACCAGCTGAGAGTAGTATTAACTGGCGCCGTTCGCAACATTTGAGTTGCGAAGCAGGGAGTTCCAATGGGTTTCGGGGTCCATGGGTCCGTTTGAGGCCCTTGAGGCAATTGTTCAGCCTGCCCGCGCTTGACAATTCAGCAACTCCTTATTTTCCTCAACGCCAGTCGTGTGACAGCGAAATAGGCCAACCAACCGGTGCCTAACTAACCATTCTGAAACGTCGGTGGCCGCCAACCTGCTGTCTACCGTTCATCAAACCACACCATAGTTTTCCAACTCCAGGCCGAATATACTAATGTCCATCCGCAAATCTGCATCCGCAGATCGTCCGTTGCAACGCAACGACCAATGCAAACCGGTTGTTGTAGCACAAAACTCCATGGCAAAGCCCTCCTCCCTCGTCAACGCCCCATTGTTTTAAACTTTAATAGTAGTACGACAGTGAAGACAGATTGTTGCACCACAACACCCGTACAGAAACGAGAACACACATACAGCCATTAAACCCCCGGCCGCCAGGGTGGGCGGGTGGGAAGATAGAGGCCACGTCACGACAGCGGGACCAACGCCTTAAAATATCAGTCTACACAACGGCAGTTAACCAGGTAGTGCGCGGAGAGCCGGAAAAGAGGCCCAGCCGCCGATCGCTGTACGACACCAGCGTTTCACGGCATATGCGCAGGAACCTGCTTCCACATTCCTGGCTTAAACATCACAAAAAAATAGCCTTCTCCTCATGAAAAGCCAGCAGTTAAATACGTGCCTAAACCACACGCCGTTTCGACGTCTGGTACAATCACAGCGATATAGCACCTCCTTAGCATAACACACCTGCCGCATGCCTCGTCACTACAACATAATTCTCGCCAGGCACAGAAGGGCCTGATTCATGCACTCGACCTTCTTTCATAGCAGACAGGACGCCCGGAGGCCTGGACAACAACACATCATTTCTCGCTGCACACCCATGGGAGGCAACGCCAATCATAAGACAACCCGCGTGACCACAGAACCCAACTACAACTCAGGATGGTTTAACAACAGCACGCGCTATAGACAACCCAAAAGCAATGCAGCAATGAAGGCATCCCCAATACGACAGACCGTCAGCCACATACATCACTCAGGGCATTGCTCAGGCTTGCCCTGAGGAATATGGGAGATACTTATCGATAGCAACGGAATCCCAACTTATTATTGACACGCACCTACATGTCTCCTTAAACCTGTTATCCCAATTAACCCTTTATGACACTGGAAAGAAGCCCGAATCCCAAACCCCTATTTGAAGCTCTTGGACGCCCCAGCGAAGGCCCCATGCGGCACCGCACGCTCCTTTCAAACACGCTAAATGTCCTTGCCCATGCGAACAATAATATTCAACAAAGGAATCCAGTCCAACGTGAAAAGCCCCTCACCATCAACGAGAACCAAAACCTGCTGCCATGCATAGTTCGGGCAAAACAGCCCAGATCTGGGCAGATCTGGGCGACTGCCATCAAGATAAGTCACTGCAGCAACCACCCAAGCCGCCAGCACCTCACTCATTAAGTAACAGTGTCATAGAACAAGCCGCGGTGTTACAGCCCATTGCTTCTTGCCCTCGGTATGTTACACGAATGTAACCTAATAACGGTACCAGCGACGATACAGCAGCAGCCTCCTCTCAGCTAGTAACATCACCACTACCATCTAGCCGCCCCGCTAGTCGGCTTGGCGCATTACAGCAATCCCTGACCCTGGCCGCCCCGCTAGCCCTCCGGAAACGGCAACATAACCACGTCAGTCAGGTTTTTAACTTGCACCCATGGCCGGTTGCAACACTCATGGCCACAAACCACCGGAGAGACCGAACGTCCGTGTGAACAAGCAAACAAAATAACTACGAGTGAGAGCCACTAGGTCGGGCTCTCACTCGGGCCGGGGCTGGAAGAAGACGGGCGGGTAACAAACACCGGTAGGCAACAATATAGTGCCTTTGAGTATCACAACACGGCGGAATAGCCGTGACAGACTAAAAACGCGTATAGCTATAAGGGTGTCGTACCTCGTCCATGAACCCGCCTTATCTCCGATACGCACGCATTACACCTGCACCTGTGACGTAACAGTCTGCAGCATGCAGGGCGTCACCAAAACCAAAACCAAAACCGCACTGTCAGTAAATTGCTCCGGGACAAACGCTTAACAATTGCTTCATGCTCAAAGGTAACGATTATACACGGCTAGCAACCATACGCAGTTCATGTATCCATCTCATGGCCTTTTCGTCATCTAGCCGTAACCCCCCACCCCCACCCGAGCCCCATGGAGAAGCCTCGTCATCCAGTTCGTCAGTTTTCCTTATTTTTACCGCCACCCAAGCATGGTCCCAATCCCAGCTAGCCAGCAACCCAGTCAACGCCTGCGGCATTCACGTGGCCGCAGCCAACCGCAATACGGCACTTTTTACGCGACACACCGAAATATACGCGCAGGTGTCGCTCAAATGTCACATCCTAACAGCCGTTAATCCATACCAAAACCGTCGCCACAACGACCCGTGGTTCAATGAGACCCACTGACTCAATCCTCAGCAAGCGCCGCAGAGCCATTATTGAACTGAACAAAGTATGCGTCTGAAGAAATAATAAACCGCATCCACCGCTTGCCACGGTTAACTCACACACTCCATAGCGCCCGTCGGATGTAACAGCCGTACGGTAAAAACGGTATGCATGCAGTGCCACATATTCTTCTGCGGGGCTCACATACGTGCACCGTTAACAGTGCGGGTTTCACCCATACTGAATTAGGGTGTTACGCAGCGTTACCGCCGTTTGCGATTTGTGGCACCCTGGAGCGTTCCTCTATACGCTTCAGCAAATCTATTTCGGTACTCGGCCCCAGAAGAATCCCTTTATTGCGATACAAAACTCCTTGCTGCACTCGTGCTGCCTTAATGCGCCGAGCATCATCATGCACGTTCAAGTGCGTTCGCTCTTGCTTGTACAGCAATCTCCAAAAGATAGGCTGGAGAACCTTGCGCCACCCAGGGAAGATGTTCCGCAGTTGCAGTAAGTAATAGCAAACTGCCATCAGGAGCACCGAACCGCTGATGCACAAGGGGACGACGACAGGGGGAATGGGTCCCAATACAATGAGCACGCCAGCTCCAAAAGCGCCAAAACCAGACAGGATTGTTACCACCAGGGCCAACGAGGTTATAGCCAGGATCGCCCACACCAGGCCCACAGACAAGAATTTGGGTGTTGGGAATGATGAAGCCACCACAAGGACGACGGTTGTAAGGGCAGCAGAGAAGGATGCTTCAGTGAGTACCCAAAACGCCTTCGTCGCCGCCCAGATCTGGTGCTGGCTCCAAGCACTGTACTCGGAAGCTTGAGGCGGCTGCATGAACACAGCGAAGGTAGCCGTTGCGAAAAGAATGGCTATCCAGGACATGCTCTCCAAGGTCTGTGTCAACGTATTGCGCTTGTCCTTTAGTGCAGACTCTACTGTTTGCTCTTGCAGATAGCTAGTGAAAGCCTCTGCTGTCTCTGCTTCCATGTCTGGGAAGGTCTTGAAAGCTGTGGAAGCCAAGTCCAACGGTGTTGCACCACGCCTATCTTGAGAATGCGCCGAAGCACCCGCCCGCAAGAGAGCAGCAGAAACATCGCGGAGTCCCCGCGACGCTGCCACATGCAGCGGCTCCTGGCCCATTGAGTCAGGTGAGAATGCGTTTGCGTCGTACCGCAAGAGGAGCTGCGCCATCTGCTCCTGCCATGCATACAGTGCGCAGTGGAGAGGGGTGCGGTCGTTGGGGCCCAGCTTGTTGACGGCTGAAGAGGAAATGGGTTCGCCCATCAGCAACTCCAACAGCCTGGGGTTCCCAAACTGGGCAACCAGATGCACCATATTCGCCGTGAAGTCACTGACGCCCCACAGACAAGTCGCGGTTGCGTGACAGTCCTTCTCCGTAGCGGCGACAAGACAAATATTTAAACTGTCACGCAGCTCAGAGGCTTCCAGCTCTAATTTGATATCGCCCAGGGGCATTTGTCTAGTCCCCGCTAAGAAGCTGTGGTCCATAAAGCGAAGGACGTGCGCGCCAATGTCGAACTGATGACTTTTAAAAGTCTCAATATCGTTTGCTCCTCGGCTGGCTAGGATGCCAGAGGACAAGCCATCAAACAGGACGCGCAGTCTGTCGTCATAGTCGTTGTCCACAATCATTCCTGGTTCCTCCACTTGGATTGCATACCTCCTCTGGAGTCACCAGTGATACAGGTACGCGGTTACGCAATATCATCGAACGTTCTTAAGCAATCACATGCCGCCAGGATACACACGCACCTCCTGAGAATCAACAGGATATTTGCTGCAGTAGACACGGAAAGCCAGCTTCACAAGCCTCGCTATGTTTTCGGAACTAATGGCGTTAAGGACCATTTTGCGACACTTGAAGTCCTCGATAACGCTGTTCAGGACTTTTATGTTTTCCATAGCGGTACCGGCGAATTGGAAGAACATTACGAGCTCATATGCTGCTTCTACAATTCCTGCTGCCTTATCATGGCGCGGTCCTTCGTTAGGTTCCGGATGGATGGCTGGCATCTTGCCTAGTGTAAGCTAGCACGCGAATGCAGCGTCAGCGTGCAAATGAGTTGTGAAGCATGGCAACCGAGGGCACAGTTCTGACCTCTGAGGGGTAGAACCGGTGCCGTACCATCCGGAACCGGCAAGTGGCGACGACCCTAAACGGTACCAGGATCCAAAGTCGGACGAGCTCGTAGCGATGATGTTATCAACACCGGCTTAAGCATCTTGGCTATAATCAACATTTCTGAACAGGAAATACGTTCAACTTGCCAAAAAGCGTTGGGCACCTGTCTATTGCGACGGTCAGCTAAGGTGCCCTACGGGCTACATCCTGTTGAAATCCAATGCTTTATAATTAATAAAGTACACAACAGGAAAATGTTCTTGAATTCCTTCGTGACCAGGATACCCAGTGCAGCGCAAATCCTGAGAGTTGGCTCGAAGCTGAAGCTTTGCTTCTGGTAGTGGTATCCTTTTACGCTACTCCCTGGCCACATGTCCTTACAGCCGTCTCAACCCGCATGGCCCTTCATCGCGTCCCTTAGCCCCCTGCCTCCTTACCCCACACCTTTCCCGTTGCCCCATACGTCGCCCCTCCTCAGTGCGGGAGGGGCGACGCATGGAGTACCGGGGGGGCGTCTATTGGCGGCAACACATACAGCAGCCATGATTGGGCTGCGGCGGGAGGGGTTGGGGAAGGGATGGAGTCGTGGAGAGCTACGTGGGATGAGGTGACGTTGGGGCAGCATGCGGAGGGAAGGAGAGGGTACAGCATACAGCGGTTGGGAGCGTAGGGCAGCGTTGAAGTGACGGCAATGCACGTGGGGGACGTGGTAAGAAATGGGGTGCGAAGGAAGGGGTCAAGGGGATCCAACCAACCGGTGGGGTGGGGTATGAAAACGCAAGATACCGGTATACCAAAACCATAGGTTAGGGGGGATTGGGCTGTGCTCGGTTAGGCTGTGGTCGTTTGGCCATAGAGCGTGTGGGTGATGGCAACACAAGGGGGGAGCGTAGGAAGGTGCGGGGTGTGAAGGTAGGGGGGTTCACGAGACGGGATGGATGGCTACACGGGTTGGGATGACGTTAGGGCGTGTGTATGAACGCGTTGACTACCGCCTGCATCTCCTCCGTTTCCTTGAGGAGACAGCCATAGACGCAGACGCCTGACCGAGCATCACCACGTGCCTTAGCCTCCCCTTCGCCCGGTGGATATCCATCCCTGACCGCTCCGCTAATGTTCCTTTGCCAAAGTTAGAGATGACACGATAGCTGGCAATGCTCCATAATTTGCCCTTCCGGTACAAGACAACAGTAGCCTAGTAGACAACCATGCACCACGCTGGCCACGACGAGCGTTTCTCAGGCTAGGCCGCAGACATGGGTATCCTGGCCGACGGCTTATCTTAGTAGTGTTCCTCGTTCTCTACTGAGCTACCTAAATTTGTTAGGAATGCGTCAAGGAGCAGCCCCTAGGGCTGCTGAGCAAAGCATTGCAATAGACAGGCGCTCAACGTTTGTCTATTAGACTGTAATATCCCCTATTTAGTGGTGTTAAATCTTGACAAGATGCGCTACTTTGTGTTGATAACGTCCTCGCTACGAGCTCGTCCGACTTTGGATCCTGGTACCATTTAGGGTCGTCGGGCAAGTGGTGATCGGGGTTGGCGTCGACTGCACCCGCATCGTACTTCGTTACATTTGTACTAAAACACCATTGTCTCACAATTGGTGCGCTTAACAGGGCCAGTGTCCACTGAAAAGAGGTCGCACATTGCTCAAAGCTGCTTGTCGACGTGCTCGGTTTTGAGAGCTGAGAATTAAACAGACATAACTCTTGTCGCAAGAACCGTGTTACTCCACTTTTTGCAGTTAACGAGCTGGACTCGGCGAGCCACAATGAGGCTGACGTGAAGCCGTCCAGTCATAGCTCTAGGACGCAGCGGAACCACTAGCGCTCGTCCAACAAACACTACAGTTCAGGCGTCAACACCATTCTACGGCGGTACCTGCACAGCTCGCCCCACAGACTAGCCCTCAAGTGTACCACAAAGCCCCTCCCTGCGTCCTGTACTAGTCGCATCTCCTGCACCCCCTCCATACACTTGCTCATGCACATGTTGCCAATATAGGATTACCATGCTGCCAATAGGTCCCACGACGCCATCAGTATTCCGCGTTCGCTGTTGCCGTGTTTATAACGCAACTGCTGCTGACTACCGCAGCAGGCAGGCCCTGTCTCACAAAGCCACATGAATGGATGCACGCACGCTTTCCGCATGTATCCGCCAGGTATAACCGCACGCATCCTTTTCTCCGTCTCCTCCACCACAACACCGTACGCCCTGTCCTATCAGGCCAGCACGGGCATGTCAGCCACATTACGCTTTCAAGACATCTGGTTCCAATTGCTGCCCCGCCTTCCATCAGAATCTACCCGATACTAACGTGAAAACGACACAAACGCTCTGGTAGCTGCAGAAGCAGGCCGCAAAGCTCCTCCTCCCCCACCCATCCCCCCACCCATGCCAACGCCAATCACACCGCCCCCGCCACCCCCGCCACCGCCACTCATCCGGCCGTTGCCGTTCACCATAAGGCTCTCAGACAGCGCCTCTCGCAAGCTGATTGAAGGTGCCGTACGAGCGCTCGATGCCAGAGTACGACACGCCTCCTTGGAAGCCAGGTACGACATGTTGTGCAGATGTAGCGCCTCTGCGGATGTGTGTCGTACAATCATGTGCCGCGGCGGCGATACGGGCGGCGACGCCTGTTGTGGCGAGGCGACGACGACAGTGGTGGCGGCGCCGCCGCTAGCATTGCCGCCGCCTCCGCCGGAAGCACTGGCGCCGCCGGCGCTTGCCTGCTGGGGTTGCTGTTGGGATTGCGGTTGAGGTGGTTGCGGTTGCAGTTGCAGCTGAGGTTGTGAGTGTAACTGTTTGTGGCTGCTGCGAGTGTGCCCGTAGTGGTTCATTTGTTGTTGTTGCTGGTTGTTGTTGTTGTGATGAGGGTGATGATGCGGTGGGTGGGGAGGCTGGGACACTCCCGAGGCCGCTGCTGCTGCCGTACCACCGACACCTGATGCTGACGTAGGGCCCCCTGCCGAGCCCGCCTGCTGGGATTGTTGTTGCTGTTGCTGCTGGTGTTGTTGGTGTTGCTGCAGCATCCACGCGGCTGTGTTGCCGGCACCGAAGGAGCCCTCTACCGCCGCTCGCTGCGCCTCAGCCTCCTGCCGCTCCTGGTGCGGAGGACGCAGGGCGGCATGGCAGGGGGGCATGGCAGGAGGGTGAGGAGTAGGAATGTAGGCACTTACCCGGCTTTAAAGGTAGACCATCGCCTGGCCATATGCACCGACATATGCACAGTCCGGGGCGTGCACGCACCTGGTCCCCCCTCCCTCCCACACACACACCAGGGAGACGAGCACGCATGCAGCGCGGCGCATGAGCACACATCCCCCTCACCTCACCACCTCACCTGAAGCATGCGGATGACGAGGGGGTTGGTCGGGGCGGGAGGCGCGGGCGGCGGCGGCGCACCCCCCTTGGAGCCTCCGTCTGGGATTACCTGGCACGGCAGGGAGAGGGGGGGGGCGGCAGAGCACGAGGGTGCGGAGAGTGGGTCGGGAAAGAGCAAGACTGAGAGAGAGGCGGTGCATAAGTGGCTGGACGGCGGTTGAAGTGCGAGAAGGGGTGAACTCAAGGAACGTGCGACGGTGCGATAGGTACCATGTGAGAGGGCAACACGGGTTTGAAGAGTCGACGAAAACTTAACCTAGTTAAGCTTAAACCTAGTTAAATGGTTTCACGTAACTCCGTAATGGCCTCAGCCCTCACGTTCGGGCTTCTCCTCCAAATCGACCTCACCCAACGCCCCCTCACCCTGTTGATCCGCTCCTCCATGCGGAGGCAGTAGGTGCCCGGGTTACCCGCGGGCAGCAGTGCAGCCATCACCCGGCCCACACGCCCCACTCCGCCGCCGCTGCCACCACCGCCAGCACCGCTGAAGGACTCCCCTCCAGCGGCCCCTCCTCCTCCTCCCGACACTTGAGGCGTGGAGGCGGAGGAGGAGGCTGTAGGGGTGGAGGGAGCGGTCAGAGCCCCGCGACCCACCATCTGAAAGTGCGCGAGACTACTGGGAACCACCTCAAACCTGGGCGCAGGAAAGGGGCTACTGCCGCCGCCGAGGCTGACGCTGGCAACGGCGCCGCTGGTGCCGCCAGCGGCGACAGCGGCGGCGCCGCCGCCGCTGAATGCCACGCCACTAACGCTGAGGGACGAGGGCTGCTGCTGCGAGTGCGCGGGTACCATGGCCGAGGCAGGACGCAGCGGCAGCGGGCGGCGGCCGCTGCTGACACGCAAACTGGCGCGGGAGGAGGAGCGCGGGCGGGCAGGGGTGGCGGAGGCGGCGGTGGGCGAAGCGGAGAGGCTGCGAGCCAGGGCTAGGGCTTGGTTGAGCGCCGCGCGGAAGGAAGGTCCTTCAACATGGGGGTTGAGGTGGTGTACGACGGAGCTGGCGCCTCCGCCGCCGCTGACGCTGCTGATGTCAGTCGCTGGGATGGACAGGGTGAGGTGGCTGATGGTCGGGACGGGGCTGCCGCCGCTGCTGGCGGAGGCGGCGATGGCGGAAGCAGGAGGGATGAAGGCGGCGACGGGTAATGCGGGACCGCCTGTATCCTCCGAAGCGCGGGAGGAGGTAGCGGCTGACGAGGCAGCGGCCTCATGCATACCGCCGCCGATGCCGCCGCCGATGCCGATGCCACCACCGCCACCGTACTGCTGATTGCTGCTGCCGCCCAACCCGGCGTGGTCACGCGGCGTGGGGTTTGCGGAGCTCACAGCTGGGGATGGTAGTGCCGCAGAACTGGCTCTCGGAGACTGCGCAGCCGCAGCCGCGGTGGCAGCCTCCCCCAGGGCGAACGCGAAAACACCGCTGACAGAGGAGGAGCTTTGCCGCTGGTTGCCTCCACCGCCGACGTCGCTGCTGCTGCCGATGTTCACCGTACTGTCAGTTCCAACATCGCCTTCGACCCCGCTAGGGCCCCCGCCGCCATTACTGTCAATACTAACCACTCCGCTGCCTCCTTCACCCGCTCTGCCTTTACTGCCGCTGCCTCCGCCTCCGACGGCCCTGCCGCCAGCGCTCTGTTGCATGGCCACGGATCGCCGCACTAGGGCGGCAGTTGCCGCCGCCGCCGCCGCTGCTGACGCACCCGCCGCCGCTGCTCCCGTAGATCTAGAGGTCTTACCCCGGGACCGGTACGAGGAAGCGGGGGAGGAGGAGGATGCATGGCCTACATGGGCTGACGCGGCCCGGGAGGCTCGAGATGTGGGTCCATGGGTGTAACCGGCAGAGCCGGCGGGAGACGAGGGTGTAGCCGGGGGTTCGGAGTCAGGGGAGGGGCGCGACGCGGGATGGATGCTCCGTACGACAATCAGCGGCGCCGCCACGGGGGATCCGTACGGCGCCAGCACAGAGTACGGCATCGGCGCTGGACCGGAGGGCGAAGGCGGCGGCTGCGGCCAGCCGTACGATGAAGGGTACGACGTTCCGTATTGTGTTCCGTACTGCACGGGTTGAGTGTCGTACGGGGATGCTGAGGAGGAGTAAGGAGAGCGTGGCCTTGGGGCCCCGGCTGTGAAGGGCGATGCAGGTCGCATGGCTGCTGATGCTGCAGCGCTTGGCGGTGTTTGTGGTACGGACGGCGCTTCGGGCGGTTGGTGGTTGCTTAGGCTGTGTCGAGGGCTCTGTACGACAGTCGGTTTGTCACCGCCAGAGCTTATAGCAGGCTGCATTTGTACGGCTTCTGTATGGATCCGACTGGATCTGAACCCGGACACAGTGGCTTGCAAATGAGGAGGTGAGGGTGACGGAGACCGCGACGGCAGAGGTGCGGGTGGTACGGCAGTGCTCGGTCGGGAGCCGCCCGGCGGTCTGCTGTGAGGCGAGATGGGCGCGGTTCGCGGTCGCGGGAAGGGTCGAGGTGAGGCTGGGAAGTACATGCGCAGCTGAGGGTAGGCTGGTTCCCAGGCTGGGTTGTCCTCGTCGCGAGGTTTGAGCACAAAGCGAGCATACGGAGTTCCCGCCGGTCGATGCAAGCTGCCTGAGCCCCATAGACCTGCTTGCTGTTGGTCTACTGGTCGCGGCATTGCGCTGGTAGAGCGAAGGAAATAAGACAGACATGAAGCGTTAGTGGCTGGAATTGACTAATACATGACATATAAACAATGCATCTCAGCGTGCCGCCAGGGGCCTAAATCGATACTGGTAGGCAACATGGCCAAGACATGCGGAGAGCGACAGCCATAGGAATAATCTACTAGAAAGGGGTGATGTACCCTCTTATGGAGCACCATTAACATTGCAATATTCTTACCTTAACGGGTCTCAACGTCGCGCAAAAAGCCAATTGTCGACGCACTTGAAGCTTTACCCCTCATCATTACTACTATTAATATAGCGGCTTAAATGGGTCATAGAGGAGTACTTAATATAGTCTCGTTTTGCTATCCCAGTGGAATAAGGAAACCTTGCTTTTGTGAAGGCGTTGCAGCAACTAGCTAAACCTAGGCGAACGTGCAAAATAGCGCCATGATTACCGTAATTCTGCATAAGGTTTAGGTCGATGTTGTCGAAACGGAAACCTGAAACGCTGCGGCACGTTACGGCAAAGTTGATGCCGTGTACGACAAAGTTTATAGCCTGGCATCGCTGCTTATGAAAATGTATGCTATCCTGAATCTATTCAAACCCAGATAGGCGCTTACATGTCAGCTGCTTATATGCCGCTGGTCGCTGCTGGAGCGCTCGGAAGATCCCTTGCTTGCACCTCTCAACATCATGCTTTACTTGTGCCGCCAGCATACCCACCCGGGGACCTCCCGTCTTAGCGCAATTGGGCAGCTTGACACGGGTTTTCCTCCATTCAGGAGGTGCAGCATAGGCAACCACCCACCCACAAACCCCATTCCACACATCCAACAGCAACAACAGACGGAACCTCATTCAAACCGAAATGCGCCCGGCGCCCATGTATGCATGTACACACAGCAAACAGGGCTGTGCGAACGTATGCCAGACATACGGTTCAAAAAACTCGCCAAACAAGCATCAATTACACACACTACACATAAATGTACTGCACGAGATTACGGCATGCTATAACGTCTTTCCACCATATCTTGTACGGCAATCGGGAGGGGCAAAAGCTCAGCCCCAAGCAAGCCGACACAACACGATGCACAGCAAATAGCAGTTTAGGGAAATGGTGGCCACCTCACACGACACGGCACAATCGTGGCGGCATGTGTGTATGTGTATGTACAGCACGACAGCAGGGGCTTCAATGAATGGTTCCGCTAATGCTAGGGTTGCCAAGCACGTTCATTGCGGCTCACAATCCGAGAGAAGCAGCCAACATTCGGAGTTCCGGACACAGACCGCAGCAAACACACCAGCACATCCGGAATATTGCTGCGACCCGGCCTAACACGAACCCCATGCATGTTGGCAGCTGTACTGCATTACACACAAAGGGCGCACATTCCAGCGCGCCTATAGCCCCTGCTATCGGTACCTGTACTACTGGTGTGCCGTCGCGCGCAACATGCAAGAAGCAACCATCCCCCTGCGCACGAATGAATACGTATGGATAAGAGGATAACGACCTGTTGACGTTGACACACTCCGCACACCCCTCATGCCCGACAGCGAAAGCCCCCAAGCAACACGAGCAAAGGTAAACCCTCCTGCCCATTCGGTCCGCAACTCTTTCTCCATCCTTACCACGCAACTAGGCCGCATACGCCCCAGCTTGAGCCCTCGGCAACATGGCGTTGCTTTGTCGTTACTCCCACACAATTCAGTACGTTCCGACTTGCGACCAGTTTTCTTAGCACACCCTGCCCGCCCACATGCCCGCGCGCGATGTCAGTTGGCGTTTCAACCCACGCCTAAGCAAGGCTCATGCCTAGACCAACCACCCACGTTCGCAAGGCTATCGCTGGAGCCTGCCAGGCTCGGCGACTCAGCCCGGCAGCACTGCTGCTGCTGCTGCTGCTGATCTTGCACTTGCACAAGCAAACGCACATACACCCGCACGTGGACGGCGGCTTTGTACATACACCTCTATGAACTCCACGCTACAACTACCTATAGTACCCCGACATATAGCAGCAAACGCCCGCAATGAATGCTTCAAACTCACGGGTCGGCGGCAGAGCCGCAGGGGGGTAGGAACTCAAGGACGCGTGCGGGAGTGTACGGAAGTACAGGAAGTGGATGCAAAAGACGGATTACCGGCACTAAGCCGCACTTGAATTAACTCTGACTCCCCTGTAGCAATGAACACATATTACTAAAAAAAGACTTTATGTGGTGCGCCGAGAAGTGGGAAGGTGACGCCCGACGCAAACCCACCGCAAGCCCCTGAAAACCTGCTGGCACGCGATTGCTGCCCTTTAACATTATTGGCGCATGGCCATACCTGTCCGATATCCCATCCCACGACTTCATTGATACATTTAATAACAGCACTTGCCAGCATACCACCGCTAGCACCCAGGCTGCGAGGCCTGTGACCGTCTGCGGCGTACGGCACCCATATCGCAGCAGCACACATGAAAGTACCGCAGCCAGCATCCCATCTTGCAGCGCTGTTTGGCGCACCAACCCACCCACCCATTGGGACCCCAGTTGCTTCACTTCTCATGAATTTTTACCCATCCACCCAACACACCAACATGAAGCCGAGGAAGCCAAGAAGGTGGGGGCTTGATGGTTTCCCCCACGCACGTGGTACCTGCGTAACCCGCCTTCATCCTCGCTCACAAGCACACATACTCCTAATGCGGTGGAGACCCAACCATGTCAGCTTCCGGCGCCTCCCGCACCTCCTCCCTCGGCACACATTGAGACCGGCCCCGCATACAGCAGCTCCACATACAACGAAGGCCCCACAATTGCCCAGCATGCACCGGCATGTACCGGTACCGGGCGCCTACTACCGGTACCCTTAACGCACACTCCGAAACCCCCCTGCTCCTGCATGAATCCCACCACAATTACATCCGGACGGCGGCCGAACCCTCAGACTTCATCATCCGGCAATTACAGTACGCGCCAACTTGCGGCCAGTTTTCTTAACACACACGCACGCGTGTACGCCAACCTGTCCACCTTGCAGTGTTAAGCTCCTTCCCTTCCTCCTGCTCCTACTCCCCTTCCCTCTCCGCCAAACCCTCCTCCCCGTCCTCTACCTCCTCATCCTCAACCTTCGCCCGCACCCGCAGACTAATTCCCGGCCGGCGGCTAGCAGCGAGCGCCCGACACGCCGTCTTAGCAGCCCGGTACGACAGCCCCTCCAGATGCAGCGCCTCCGCCGCCCCTTGCAGTACGACGCCAGTCGACAGCGCCGACGTCGCGTCGTCGCCGTCCGCCGCATTGGCACCGCCGCCGCCGCCGGCGGCGCCGAGCCCCAATGCCGATCCAAGCGGACGAGGCGCCTGCTGCTGAGTCATCAACTGCTGCTGCGAGGAGGATGATACCGGCGGCGGCGGCGCTAGGTGCACTGACTTTTCGCGCCGCGGCTGCTGCGTCGTCCGCGCCTCCGAAACCGTGTGAATGCGAGCAACTCCGTCGACGGCGGCTTCCGCGGCGCGGGAGACTGTACGGCGGACGACGCTGCTAGCCCCGCCGCCGCTGCCGCGACTGCTGACTGCGCCCCCGTCACCTCCTTCAGCAGCGGCGGCAGCAGCAGCCGCCGCTCCTAGCCGGCTATTACTGTTGGCATTCGATATGGAAAGCCTGGGGACCGCCCCGGCTGCCGTTGCGCCGCCCCAATCCGCTCCGCTGTTACTCCGGCTCTTGGTACTGCTAGCGCCGTTCGTACTCACACTCAGTGCACCCTGATTGCCGTACGACCGATCCGCCGCCACCGACACCCCGCCCGCCGCCGCCGCCGCAATGACCGCCGCATGATCCACCCGGCTAAACGTACTCGCCACCAAGCTGCGTTGCGCTGCCACTTCCCGTCGGTGTTGCAGCGCCCGGCCTACCTGTAAAGACGCCTCGCGAAGCGGCGGCGGCGCCGGCGGCGGCGGCGCCATGGGGGACGGTACGGCAGCCTGCAGCAGCTGTAGCGTTGTTGCTGACGGCGGCGGCAGAACCTCTTCAAACAGCTGGTGGATTCGTTCCTCAATGGGCGGGTTGTAGGTATTGCCGCGATGCAGCCCGGCTAGGTTGTCTACCAGACGTCGGGCGCGGCTGTTGGAACGGGGCCGGGCGAGCGGCCACGCACCCGCGGCGACGGTGGCGGCGGCGGCGACGGTGGCGGCGGCCGGGAGGTTGGCTGGGGAGGAGGAGCGGGAGGCGGGCAGGGCGAGGGGTGAGGTGGCGGCGCGCAGCGGCGGCGCCAGGAGGGGCGCGGTTGGCGGCGGCGGCGGCGAGTGAAGCGGCAGCGATGCGGAGGTGAAGGTCATGGTTGACGGCAGCAGCAACCGGTGTTTGATGATCGCGGCGGCTGCGGCGGCGCTGCCCCAGCTACTGCCTGCGCCGCCGCCGCTGCTTATGACGCTGGCGCCGCTGCCGCCGGCTGAGCGAAGCGCGCTGCCGCCGCCGGAGGTGGCGGCGGCAGAGGCAGCGTTCTCCGGCTCAGAGCGCCGGCCGCCTCCGCCGGCTCCGCCAGCGCTGACGGCCTGCGGGTGGGCGCCGTCAGGGCGGCGGTGGCGGTGCGGTACGGCAGGGCTGCCGGAGCGGCTGGAGGGGGCGCTGCGTGCGCGGAGGAACATGGCGCCGCCGGTGTGGAGGCGGAGGCTGCTGCCTGGGGGGTCGCCGTGGGCGGCGTGGTGGGGGTGGTGGGGGTGCTGCTGCTGTTGGTGGGTGATGTTTGAATGCTGCCGTGGAGAACGTACGTTGGGTTGCTGCTGCTGCTGCTGCTGCTGCTGCGGGTAGTGGGGGTGCTGCTGCTGGTGTTGCACTTGTGTCACAGGCATCTGCTGCAGTTGCTGCTGCGGCGGTTGCTCTGGCAGCTGCTGCTGCTGCGGGGGAGCCACCGGAGGCTGCTGAGCTGGGTGCAGCAGCGACTGCTGTGGTGTGGGAGGCGGCGGCGGCGGCAGCAGCGGCTGCGGCAGCAAGTGCTGGTGCAGCTTCTCACTCGCAGCCGCGTGCGTGTGCCGCCGCCGCAGCGGCTGATGAGGCTGCTGCTGCTGCTGCTGCCCCCCTGCCCCGGCACCCAGCTGCTGCGGTTGCTGCGGCTGCTGCGGCTGCTGCGGCTGCAGGCTGGAGTGCTGCTGCAGGGCCGCCTTGGAGCTCTGGATGCTGTGTAGCACGTAGCCGGAGGGCAGGGCGCTGTCAGCACTGGAGAAGCTCCGGCGGGTGAGGACGACGTGGCGCGCCTGGCCTAGCAGGACGCTGAGGGGCAGCGGGTGGGTGGGTGCGAGCGGCGTGCCGACACGCGAAGCGAGCGAGGCGCAGCCGGAGGGACTGCTGGAGAGGCTGTAGGGTGAGGAGGCGGAGCGGTTGGGAGGGGCCAGGCCGGAGCTGAGGACGCGGTCCAGGGAGGTGGGCGCTTGGCGGATGCGGGTGAGGTAGCTGCGGTTGGAGGCTAGGGTGGATTCTTTGGA